TGCGTGTGGGTGTTTGTGGGTGACAGGTGGAGGACAGCCCATCCTGTGCAGGGTGGAAGGTTGCCTCGTGCAGGTGTGTTAGGCCGAAGGTCACTGCTGATCTTGCCTGATGATATTGCCAAGTTGGTTTCCATGGCCAGATGTAGAGGGAAAAGATGTCAAAACTGTGTTGTGATGAAGAAGAGGTGCTGGGGGAGATAAAGGAAGGCAGTGGTGGAGTGGAAGCTCCTGGGTCGTTATTTAATCTCCTGCCYYGTCTGTGCTGTTCTAATTAGTGCTGTCCTGGGATGGATGCGTCCACGCGTGGCTTTTGGTTTTATCATCTGAAAGGATTTCTGACAACCAGGGGTTTTTATCCCACTGAAGATGTACTTCTTGGTTCTGTTCCATGTCTGTTTCTCCTTGGCTGAGAGTCTTGCCACAGCTTTGGCCAGGCGCAAAGACAACCAACAGAGTGCTGTGGGGGGAAGGAGCAGGGCAGACCCATGCTGTGGCCCTCAGGCTCCCCCGGATCCTCATCAGGCTCAGTTTGACACTTGGGTCTGAGATTTACAGTACCTTGAATAGACTAACAGTGAAATTAYTCTTTTAAAATAAAATTAGAGGGCTGGGGATATAGCTCCGTTGGTAGCGTGCTTGCCTCGAATGCACAAGGCCCTGGGTTCAATCCCCAATACCACCAAAAAGAACAGTCTAAAATAAAATTAGAGCCAGGTGCCATGGCACACACCTGTAATTCCAGAGGCTCAGGAGGCTGAGGCAGGAGGATCGAAAGTTCAAAGCCAGCCTCAGCCAAAGCTAGGCACGAAGCAACTCAGTGAGACCCTGTCTCTAAATAAAATACAAAATAAGACTGGGGATGTGGCTCAGTGGTTGAGTACCCCTGAATTCAATCCCCAGTATCAAAAAAATAAGTAAAATAAAATTAGAAGCTAGGCATGGTGGCGTGCCTGTAATCCCAGTGCCGTGGAAGGCTGAGGCAGGAGGATCACGAATTCAAAGCCAGCCTCAGCACCATCACAAGGCCCTCAGCAACTTTATGAGAATCTGTCTCTAAATAAAAATACAAAAAATGGCTGAGGTCATGGCTCAGTGGTTAAGTGCCACTGGGTTCAATCTRTGGTATCAAAAATAAAATAAAGACACAACTTGCTAAAAAAAAAAAAAGTCATTGAAAATCAACYTAAATTCTCAAGAGCTATGACATTTATAGGATCATTTGCTATAAGGTATCTGGCCTTCCCTGTTATAGAAAATCTAAAAAATAAACAAGGAAAGAAGGGGAGAATCTAAAACCCCATCCAGCCATGTAGCTCTTTGCATTCTGTCTGTACTCACCTGTATCTTAGTGTGTTGTCGTTACTTGTTTGCATGACCTCCCCCTCCTCACTCACCCCCCAACCCACGCTGGGCTGCGCTCCCGGTGGCCAAGGACCTGACTGGTTCTCTGGATCGGCTCCAGGCTTTTTTGTACCTGCTTGAAAGAGGAAAGGCCTGAGGTTTTGGAGTCAGACCTGACGCAAATATTCATCCTTTGTATTAGTTTTCTGTTGCTGCATAAGAAATTTAGCAACTTCAAGCATCACATATTTATTTATTTATCATTGTTCCTTTTTTGCATCACGTATTTSTTAGCTCACAGATGTGTAGGTAAAAGATGGACAGGCAAATCCAGACCAGCTCTGCTCCCTTCCCTGCTTAGGTATTTTTACAGAACTAAACCAAGTATCAGCCAGSCAGGCATCTTTTAGGGAAACTTTGGGGGAGAATCCACTTCTAAGCTCACTTAGGTTATTGGTAAAATCCAGTTCCATGTGACTTTAGGAGCAAAGTGAAATTTCCTCTCTGACTTCTGACGGTTTCTTGGAATAAACTGAGAGAGACAGATGGAATTGGAGAAAAGACACATGAGCTGATTACGACGTGCACAGAGTCAGTCACGTATTGTACTTATCCACTAGCCCAAAATGATTCCGAAGCTTCTATCCCCCTTTGTCTGTAGGGGAAGGGAAGAATGGGGAATGCAGACAATTTTGAGAGATCCTAAGAGATAATTAGGTGAATCGATGGTCCCAGAGACAAAAATTAGCTTGCGAAATCATTCTCTTTGAAATTTGAATAAGCCCAAGGGATTGACATCCTCTTGCAGTGGAAGGCCACTGGTCACTGTCCCAAGTCCTCTCATCTGAAATAGATGGTGGGATTTCAGATGGGGACAGAGAGAGCAGTGGTCCCTCTTGCAATCTGGTCTTAATGCAGATAAGGGAACTCAGAGAACCTCTCTTACACCTGGGTGGGAGAAGCAAGCCAARGTTAGAGGAACCTGGATTCGGAGCCTGCTCTTAAGACCTTTTAATTTCCTTCAGATCAAATTGCTCAGCATGGCCTAAATAAATAGTAAATTGCAAAGCTATATATTGAGAGTCTCCTACTCTGAGCCTCAACATGACTATATGTTCAAGCCCCCATTTCTTTGTTGGCTGTCTGCCGGGTGTCACCCTGTCTCCTAGAGGCTACATGAGAGGCCACCTGATTTCTTCCCTGGTTCTCCATCTACAACGTCCACACCAAGTTCTTCTGTGTTATGAACCAGAGAGAACCCCTTGCTTTTGAAGGGCTCTTGTGATGAGCTCAGACTTACTTGGACAGTTTCCCTTTGGGCATGTAATGTAATATAATCAGGAATAGCACCAGGGACGGAGGTCTTAGGACCACCTTAAAATTCTTCCAACCAATTGGACACAATGGCACACGCCTGTAATCYTGGGGAGCCTGAGGCAGGAGGATYGCAAGTTCAAGGCCAGCCTGGACAACTTAGTAAGACCCTCAGCAATTTAGTGAAACCCTATCTCAATAAATAAATAAATAAGAAGGCCTGGAGACATAGCTCAATGGMAGAGCACCCCAGGGTTCAGTCTGCAGTATAAAAAAAATTTACAATTCTTCCCCTCATCCACTTTCTTCTCCTTACTACCTGAGAGATTCTGTCCGGGTAATGTGGCTTCTCTGACCCTCAGGAGTTAGAGAGCCCAGTGGATGATCTGACTGCATTAAATAGGACCTGTCAGTACCTGGTGAGGGTTGTTTTTTCTCCTTCTTTTGCTAAGCCAATTTTATTTGAAACCCATGCTGTTGGATTCAGATGCAACACAGTTGTAAAGGGCCATCTTTGCGTTCTAAAAAGTCGTGACTATTTGTAACTTTCCTTTGCCAAAGAATAACAAGAAACTAGGGCAGCATGCGCCCATCCGGGCCTTTCTGTGGCCCCACCATCCCACATGCCCCAAAGCTGGTGTCTCCACTCAGCTGCTGTCTCTKGGAGAGCGGAGGGTGGGGGTGAGAGCGCTCTGCCTGTGTCCACAGACAAGTGGTGGCTTCTGGGCGGAGGCCCCACCAGCAGCTGGCCCCTGCCACTCAGCCGGAGGAGGCCTGGCYGGGCGGAGGAGGCTGAGGCGGGTGGTGAGGCTTGCCTGCTCACCCGGCTCTCTGGCTGTCCCTTCTGTGCCCCTCAGGAGATCCCTCGAGAACTCACCCTGGATGCCCTGCTGGAGATGGACGAGGCCAWGGTGAAGGAGACGTTGCGGCGCTGCGGGGCCAGTGCCGAGGAGTGTGGCCGTCTGCAGCAAGCCCTCACGTGCCTTCGGAAGGTGACAGGCCTGGGTAGGTGGGGCCTGCTTCCCTCCCCTTGCTCCAGGCCTCTGCACCTGCCTGCCTCCCCAGGCCTGGCTGGTTCTGGGGGTGGGGGGGTGAGACCTCTGCGGRGGGGGGCAGTGGGGCTGGGCAAGCGTGGCTCAGGGTGTCCGGGGCAGCCTGGAAAGGCCAGGGTAGAAGTTCAGAGGTGTGTGTTGGGCCTGGGCCATGCCAGAGGCCTCCCAGGGTCTGTGGGTTCTGGAGCCCAGGTGATCTGGCCACTTTCAACCCTGGAATGCTTTAACGGGTTGTTAGGAATCCCTGACCAGCGCATGGGGCCAGCCCAGCATGATCCCTACCCACTCCTGGGGACCCAGCAGGGTCAGGYCCGGTACCTTCCACCAGCTTCCTGCACTGGAGTCCTGGGTATCCCCATCAGCTCCTCCCCAGCTCCGGGTCCCCATCAGGGGGCTGAGCTTGTGTGCAGAAGACCCACACTGCTATGAGCTTAGCTGAGCCAAGCACAATTAGAGAAACTGTAGGGCTTTTCAGCTGGGAGTGTGTGCAAGACTGTCCCTGGCCAAGTGTRTAATCCTGGCATTAGGACTAGGTCCTGGGGAATTATTTGCAGGCTTTCTAAAATCTTACCTTGGAAACAGCTTCAAATGCCTGACTTAACGCTCCTGCTGCCACACAGATAAAGCTTTAAAATGCGCCTAATGAATGGAATTAGGCCCATTTTTAATTATCTGAGCCGCCTGTCTTATCTCCTGCTGCCTGAGGCTTAAGAAAAGCACTGAGGTTTAGATTCTCCTTGATTTTTCCCCCCCAGAGATGACTGGGTTTAATTTCTTCCCTGGCCGCATTATACCAAGTCCTCTGAACACAGAGTGCTGTGCAGAGAGTTACGCTCAATGAAGAATATCTTGACACTCCAGGCAGGTGCTGGACATAAACATGATAGAGGCATGGTTAGCATTCTTGTCCTCATATTTTACAGAGGAGRAGACAGCCCAGAGAGGGAAGAGGGTGTGGTCAGGGACACACAGCAGTTTGTATCAGAGCAGTGGTTGAGCCTCAGACTCCAATGGTGGTGGAGAGTAGGACTTGCCTCCCAAACTGAAATCTTTGGGGTGACTCATCAGCCCTCCCTCTAGGATGCCTGGATTTTAAAGAACTGTAGAGGAGCCAGCTGTTGAGTGGTAGTGAACCATTTGAGTTACTAGGGCTGCTGTCTGCTGTCCCAGATGCCAAGATAGGGAGATCACTAATTTCTTAAGCACCTACTGTGTGCCAGGCAYGTGGCTGCAGTTCAAAGCATTGGCAGCATCTGGTGAGGTGTCTGGGATCCCAAACCTGGCATGGGCCAGAGATGAACCTTGAACTTTGGTTTCTCCCTTAGAGGGTCCTTTGTCCACTGTGCCCAGGAAGCGGACCTGGAAAAGAGACCTTGACCCTTTTGTTCTGAATGGAGAGACGTTGACCCTTCAGTTCTCCCCATCTCTTACCTGTACCTTTTGCAGGTTCTTTCTTTCACTCAGTCTCATCTAGACCCCTGCATCCTGGGCTGGGATGTGCCCAGGATGGGGGCCTGTGTCTGCCTGATTGTGACTGTACTTCACTAACACCTGCATTGGCGGGGAGGGGGGGGGATTGCATGGGTGCCAAGAATGTCACTTGATAAGGTCATGCATTCAGAGCATCTTCAATGCACCCAGGCTAGTCCTAGTAAAAATGAGCCATGAAATTCAAGTGGCCTCTGCGTGGCCACTTACAACTCATGCTCCTTGTTCACTTGTTTAACCTCGCTGTGCCTCAGGTTCCCCATCTACACTGGAAATAATAGGTAGCAGCAGCCCCTTGCTCRCAGGGTTGTTGTGAAGATGAACTTAGTGAAGGGGTTATGCTTAGATTCCCTTTCCAGAGTTAGACCTGTGGAGTGACGGAGGAAAATGTTAATATCATGTCCCTTGTGGTGTCTTGCCTTAGGCGAGTGAAGGGCAGTTCTCTATGCTGGTGAGTAGAGAATGATCATTCCTGCCGATCTGCCCCATGCTGTGTCCATGGCAGACATCACTAATCAATCCATCAACTCTTCTATTGAATGACTCTTGTCATTCTCAAGCAGCCCCACTGCCAATCGACTGCCAATCGGTGTTGCCATTCATATCCCTGCTAGTGATACAAAGAGGTGGTGATTAAATAGGCAATTTGAAGAATTTGGAGTTTGTCTCCTTTGGTGGCAGACTTGTGCATAGATTCATGGGACTTAATTTTTCATCCTCTCAACAAGATACATGTGCCTGTCGCCTCCACTAGGCCAGCAGATAGGCTCAGCCTTCGCTTCAGCTGCAGTTCTAAAGGAACAAGCCCCACGGCAACCGAAAGGCTAACTCATTCTGCCCCGTTGTTTCAGTCAACTTTTTCACTGCTACAACCAAAAGACCTGACAAGAATAGTTTTAAGGAGGACAAGTTTATTTGGGGGCTCACAGTGTCAGAGGTCTTGATCCATAGATGGCCAGCTAGATTCTTTGGGTCCTGATGGGAGGACCCAAGGTGGAAGAGTGTGGTGGAGGAAACATGGCACCAGGAAGCAGAGAGAGAGAGCTGTCCTCATCAGGATAAAACATAGACGCCAAAGTCAGGCCCTCAGTGACCCACCTCCTCCAGCCACACCCTACCTGCTTTCAGTCCCGCTCTGTTAATCCCTGCTAGGGGGTGAACGCACTGATTAGGTTAAGGCTCTCATAACCCCATCATTTCACCTCTAATTCTTCCTGCGTTGTCTCACATGAGCTTTTGGGGGACAACTAATGTCTAAACCATAACACCAAGTGACTCATGACTGCAAAGTCATACTGTGAAGGCGGAGGGTAGGGGGCAGGCAGGCTCCTTGCAAAGGTGATGAAACTCACTAAGAAACTCTATGAATTGTGAAAGCAACACCCCCAAGCCACAGGGGGCCATGTGGGTGTGGCTTGACCACCTCTGAGGACCAAGAGCTCATTGCCTCCAACGCTGTTCCGCTGTGTCCAGCCTCCCCAGCGCTGTGGGAAAGGAGTGGTGTGTGGTCAAGATCAAGGGGTTCAGCTCCCATCCCCCCACTTTCATAGCTGTCTGACCTTGCTCGGTGTCCGTGGCCTCTCTAAATCAATCATAGGGGAGGACCAAGGAAGGGGGCGGGTGCAGCACATTGTGAAAGGTCTCCACGTGGAAGCTCATTCGGTCTTGAGCCAAGGTCCCCCTTCCTGTCCTCCCATTTGGTCATGTGGAGAGAGAAGTACCTTCTCTTTTCTCTGAGAGCCTCTTGAATTTGCCCCCTGCCCTTGACCCTTCAGTTCTCCCCCTCTCCTATTGGATCAAACCTGAAGTCCTTAGCAAGACATCTGGGGCCTTCCTGAGCTGGCCCCAGCTGGGCTGACCCCTCCATCTGCATCCCTTACCCCTCCTGGGCTCATCCGGAGCTCTCGGGCACACGGGACTCTGCAGTTACACGGGAAGGTGGCAGTCCTCGGGTGCCTCTGCATTGACCTTCCCCCGGCCTGATCAGCCCTCACCTGCCTGCTCAGCCCTCACCCTCAGGCAGATGGAGCATCCTCCTCCCRCATAGAATGCTGTACATCCCTGTCCCATTTCACAGCACGCTGTGTCTCGTGTCTGTCACCCCCGCTGGTCTCTTCAAACTTGGGGTGTCTTTTTCTGTACCTTTAAACCCAGCAGCCAGCACAGTGCTGGGATGAATGGACCACCCTGCCCTTCCCTCCACACCCCCGGCTTTCTTTTCTAAGGTGGGTTCCCAGCTTGCTGCCCCTAGATGCCACAGTAAGATCCCTGCACAAGTCCTTCCATCTCTGGGCCTGTTTCCCCTGGGCACAGCGCAGACAGCAATTTCTGGTGGGCAGCTTCAGGCTGAAAGTGTTGTGGGGATGTCGGAGGCTCGGAAGCCAGGTAAGGTGGGGGCTGGAGCCATCCACTGWGGACTGGTGCCACCTCAGACAAGTGCCAGCCTCTCCAGACCCTGGCTGTTGGATCTGTAAATCCCTTCTGTCCCCAGCTGGGTGTGACTTGACTCCTTGGCCCACAGGAGGTGAGCACAAAGAGGACTCAGGCTGGAGTTCGTTGGATGCTCGGCGAGAAAGTAGTTCAGGCCCTTGCGCAGATGCCCTCCCACCTGCCAGTCTGCCCTGGCCACCGGGGAGCTCGCAGCTGGGCCGAGTGGGCAGCAGCGGCCAGGGCCCTCGCTCCATCTCCGTGTCAGCGCTGCCTGCCCTGGACTCGCCAGCCCCCGGCCTTGGAGAGGGCCTCTCGGACACCTGTATCCCCCTGCACGCCAGCGGCCGCCTGACGCCCCGCGCCCTGCACAGCTTCATCACCCCGCCCACCACGCCCCAGCTGCGACGGCATGCCAAGCTGAAGCCACCGCGGACACCCCCGCCGCCCAGCCGCAAGGTCTTCCAGCTGCTGCCCAGCTTCCCCACGCTCACCCGGAGCAAGTCCCACGAGTCTCAGCTGGGGAACCGCATCGACGAGGTCTCCCCGATGAGGTGAGTTTGAACTGTGGACAGAGAAAACCAACCAACAGAGAAGAGTATAAATTTAAAAGCGGAAGGTACCCCCATCTCTCAGTCTGTCCCCTCACACTAGATTAGCAGTTTGGATTGAAGCCCACTAGATTTTTTTTTCTTTACGTATACCCACAAATGAGATAGTGCCGGGTATCTGTCAGGGTAGGCTGAGTTAGGCTGCAGTAACAAACAGCCCCCAAATCTCCAGGGCTTCAAACAGCAAACGTTTATTTCTCATTTGTACGACTGGTCCATTGTGGATCAGTCTCCTTCCAGGTCACAGGCAGGCCACTATAGCCATGAAAAAAGTGCATTCTAGATGTTGTGCACTGGCAATTAAGTACAGTTGGATTTCTGCATCCCGGAGTTGTACATCTGAGGATCCAACCAATGTGGGATTGAAAATGTTGAGAAGAAGAAACTTATCTTGTTGCTAATGTATAGTATGTAGTTAAACCTGTGATGGTTGTGTGTGTACTAAACATGTGTAGACTTTTTTTCTTGTAGTTGTATGAGGTATGATAAGTAATCTAGAGATAATTTAAAGTATACAGGAAAAAGTGCATAGGTTAAGCTAGGTGTCATGGTGCTCCTGTCATCCCAGCAACTCAGGAGGCTGAGGCAGGAGACCTACAACCTCCAGGCCAATCTCAGCAACTTAACCAGAACTTGTCTCAAAATAAAAAATAAAAAGAACTGAGTATGTAGCTCAGTAGTACTGTGTTCAATCCCCAGTACCCCACCACCACCAAAAAAGTACATAGGAGATATATATATATATATATATATATATATATATATATATATACACTATGCCATTTTATTGAGCATTTATGGATTTTAATATCCATGAGGAGGTCTTGGAATCAATCCTGAGCCATTTCTCTGTGATAGAGATAGCTATACCGTTTCCTAGAAGTCATTGCCATCCATAGTTTTCCCAAACAAGATAATCAAACGATGCAGTTCTCTTATGTGTCCAGAAGGGGAGAACTAGAATATTCGGCTCAAATATCTTCATTATTTATTTTTATTTCTGTGTATTTTGAAGAAGTGGTAGTCACATGATCCAAAAATGCAGTAGCACTATGGCCTCATGTCTATCTGTCACTCCGGGGTACGTGGTAAAGTGCACCCCCACCCTTTTTTTTTCTAAATATGTATTTTTAGTTGTTGATGGACCTTTATTTTCTTCACTTATTTATTATACGTGGTGCTGAGAATTGAACCCAGTGCCCCACACATGCCAGGCAAGTGCTTTTACCACTGAGCCACAACCCCAGCCCACTCCCACCATTTTTACTGAGTAGCCTGGCTCCTCTTTCAGGGGCCCAGCAGGTTGTCAGTTGTACATATTAGCTGTCATAATTCATATGACCTTGTTTTAAAACCTTGTCTGTATTGCACAGTTCTAACTTGTCCTCTTTTGAGGGACCTTTAGATCACTCTCCTTTTTGCTGTTTTAAAGCCCACTCCTGTCCATATGCCTTTGTGGGCAGGACCGAGGGGAAAAGGGTTGTTTTCTTTGGGTCCCTCTTAACTTTTTGTACCCCCGAGAGCTGAACCACCTGGCTTCTCTCCTTGGCACAGGCACCCCTTTTCTAGAAGGTTCCTCAGGCCCTGTTCTATCGTGGGCAGTGGAGTGGGGCTTGCTCTCCCTATCCTGAAGCAGGGATGGACCCTGGAGAGCTCTGATGATTTTCAATGCACCAGAGAAATCACGTGTTCCCTATGCTGCTGCTACTGAGCAGGCTGCCCTGCGGGGCCTGGGTGCCCTGCAGATGTGGCTGAGGAGCACAGTGGTAACTACCATGTGGGCAGAGGGGCCTCACGGTGGACTCAAGCCAGAGCTCATTTCTCATGTTCTCTTGAGAAGAGGGTGAGGAGGCCCTGGTCCTGTTCCTCTGATACAGTGGGGTACAGGCCGTCAGGCCAGTGACATCACTGACCTTAGATCCTAGGAGTCTTGAGTTCAGCCACCCTCCCCTGGGCCACCAGAACCAGCACTGACACGGATGCTCAGGCCACCTTGGTGAGCCCGGAGGGCAGATGCAATGTCCTCCTCCCCCCCCCCCCAGCTCCTTTCATCCCTGGGGGCAATGGCAGTCCCACAGGAGGCATTGCTCAGAGTATGTTCCCCCCTGGTCCTTCTTGGGGGCCACCTTCCTGCTCTGCGTAGCTGTTATTCCTGTCCTCTTTCCTAGCCACAATTTGGCCAGCAGACCAGCCCAGCTTAGGGGGTCATGTGACTTAAGACTCCATGAAGCTCGGTTCCTCGGCTATGAGCTGGGGTGGCCTGTCCCAGGCTGGCGAGGCTTCGTGAAGCGGACACATTAGAGTGCCCAGCACAAGGTGGTGTTTCAGTGTCCCCAGGAGTGCTCTCCTGGCCCTTCCCATCGAGGACACATTCTTTCCACAGAGCATGCAGCAATTCCCACAGTCATCAGCCAGCCTGGCCCCAAGCCAAGCCTCTGTCGCTCGTCCCAGCCCCTGGCCTGCTCCCTCCCCAGGGGTGGTGTTCTAGGGACATGCTGAGCCCGTGTGGTGACATAATCCCTCTCTCTCCTTTTTGTCTCCTCCAGGTTTGGTAAGAGTGATTCATTTTCATCCCTTCTGCCACCTGGAGTCCTGTCTGTGGTGCTGTCCCCATYGGGGGTGGACGTCTCTGACCCTCTCTTACCTTCGTGGCCTTTCCATTGTCCAAAGGCACTGGCACTGGGAACCACTGCAGGGAGTAGTTACAAGACAGGTGGCCTTAAAATGAGCAGCTGAGAACTGGGCGTGGTGGCATAGGCCCGTCATCCCAGCCACATGGGAAGCAGCAGCAGGAGGCTCACAAGTTCAAGGCCAGCCTGGGCAACGTAGTCTCTTTCTTAAACATCTCATCCGCACTCCCCATCTAGCTAACCTCCACGTGCAGTTTCTTTCCCTCTTACTACATCCTTAAAAAAGAAAAGAAAAAAAAGTGCTGGGGCGTAGAGCTCATTGGTAGAGTGCCCTGGGCTCAGTCCCCAGTTATGGGGACAAAAATAAAAAATGATGGGCAGGCCTTAGCCCAGCCAGTGGCTGCTCTCTGGGAAGTAGAGGCTCTAAGAGTGTCACAGTCCTCCACAGTCCAGCGACGAGTCCTGTCTCCACCCTGCTATCTGTGGTGGACACTTGCTCTCTGGGCTGCTCTGATAGAGGAGGGAGGTGCCATTGGCCAGGTTCAGGTGGACGTCAGCTGTCCTCAGAGCCCTGGCTGGTGTCTCAGGACCCCACCCTCCAGGAGAGGGACATTGCTTGAGGCAACTCGGACTTGGAGGGTGCGGATATCCTCCCAGGAGGGGAGGAGGAAGACCAGACAACCCTGGACCCCCTTTTCCRCCCCTCCACCTCCAGGTTGGGCACAGAATCTGGCATGTCCTGCAGGGCCTCTCGTGCAGCAGAGCCGGGAGTCGGCCATGCCTGGCATCTGCTTTTAATTGAGTGGAAATGCAGGGGTGCCTGGTTTTGCTTGAATGAAATAGAAGTTTCTTTTCTTACCATCCTTAGCTGGCTAAGGAGAGCGACTTGGGGGCAGGAAGGGCCCCAGGAGGAGGCAGGGTTGAGGAGGCAGTGATGGAGCTGCAGGGAGCTGCTGCTGGAGCCCCAGGGGCAGGGCATATGAAAGGAGAGAACCTGTGAGTCCCGTCCCCAGACAGCCTGGGCCCTGTCACCCTCCTGTTGCTGGGGTAACACAGGAACCACAGAAGCAAGGCTGTTAGGCCTTCAGGGCCACTAGTCCCATCCAGATCAGGAGCAGGGACRCCTGGCATGCGTGCCATCTCATGTCCCTGTCCCCCACCTGTGGCCAGTGGTACCAACCACAGGTTGTGTTCGGAGCCAGATAGTTGAAGACTCATTGCCCTTGTCTGTCTCTCAGGCTGGCCACTAGCCCCTCCTAGAGCCTGTGTTTTGACATCCTTGGGTTCTCATGGGACCCAGGGTATGGAGGGACCCAGGGGGCAGTTGAGAGGCCCTGTGGCAGATGAGCCAGAGAGCCCAGGTGATAGGTTCGTGATGTCCCTGATCTTCAGCCTTTTGTCCCCATCAAAATCCCCTTTGTGTGAGAAGGATTGGCACTCAGTGAGCACCAGCTGTATGCAGGGCAGCCTTCAGTGACCCAGACCCACCAGGCCTTAAACACTGGTTCTTAGAGGGACCCAGATCAGGAGAGGCGTCCCCAGGATGTCCTCGGTGGAGGCAAGCAGAGGGGCATCTGTGGCCCTTCTCTCACCAAGGAAAGAGGGTACCTGAGATGTCCCCAGAGCTCAGACGGTAGGGCCCCAGTGGGGTTGGCTACATGGGGCTTCATCTTGTCCTCGCTCTTCCTGTCTGGATCCGGCTGGGTGGCTCTCAGGAGTGTTCTCAGGGTACCTCTGGAGGAAGGGTACAGGCTGAGCGGAGTGGCCAACTCACCCTGAGCCTCCACCCAAGGTCAAGGTCAAGCTTCCACCTCCACCTGTGCTTAGCCTCCTGCCTTCAAGGCTGACCCCACGGGGACACAKGCCGAGCCCTGCAGAGGCAGGTGGCAGCTTCCACCAGAGAATAAGCCCAGTGTGAGGGAGGTGACGTCTGTTCCCTGGCCTAGCTGGCTTGATAGGTGTTGGTTCAGGTAAGCCTTGCTCTACTGTGTGACACCTAGCATCCCTTCTGGCCTGCGACCTCTGAACTACAAGGTCACAGGCGTAAGCTGTCCTAGGCAGAGCGTCCTCAGCTTGCCCAACCTGACCTCTTTCCCTGCAGATCTTCCACATGGATCCCCACAGATGGTACGAAGGGACATCGGCCTCTCGGTGACACATAGGTGAGTCCAGGTAGGGAGGCATGCAGAGCTGGGCCGGGACCAGAGGGTGCTGGGAGGCCCACTGCRGGGGCATCTGTTCTGGCCTAGGTTTCTTTGCCCCTAGCCTGCCTGCCTGTCTCCTCGAGTGACATAAACCTGCACCCACCTCATCACCAGCCATATGGACTTGCTGGGCCCTCCCCTGCCCCTCCTGTGTCTCTCTCCCACTCTGATGAGGGAAAGTGCCCTCTTCCCTTCCCAAGACATGGGTCCCAGGATGAATAGGGTCAAGTCGTGAGAAGGAGGAGCCGAGAGCCTCTTCCACACCCTGTGACGTCATGAGGTCCTGGGCTGGCCACCCATCAGGAGCTTTGTGGAGCTTGCAGGAAATCCACATTCCCAGGCCTGCTCCTCATCTGGATATTTAACTTTCGGTAACTGGAGCTCACAAACGTAGAAGAGGGCTGATGTGGGCCCGTGATGTGGACTGTCCAGAGGTCTTGGCCTCCACGCTCCTGAGGCTGTGTGTGCAGGCCCCAAAGATCTGGGTGGTATCTCATGGCCCCTGGGTGGCCAGCAGGACACTGTCTTGGGATGCCCATGCTCTGGCTGTCCCTGTTAAAGGCTGTTGAAGCGTGATAGGGAATGCTCTCAAGGGTGCTGCCCCTTGCCAGGGCCTGTTGTTTCCCAGAGGGCAGCTGCAGGTCCCCAGGATCAAGCACCGTGTCTGAGGTCACACTCAGTGAGACAGAACTTGAGTCCAGAGACCTCTGCATGGAGCCTTGTCAGAACTGGGACACCTGTGCCCATAGCCTTGACAGCAGGGTCCAGGGCACATATGAACAGGGCGGCCAGGCCTGTCACCTACCTGTCCAAGCTGGCTTCTGGCCTGTGTACTAAGAATCCTGGGCCTGCCTAACTCCTAGGGGTGGTCATAGTGACCAAGTGAGCTGATGTTCAAGGACACACAGCAGACACGATGCTACTCACATTCCTCCAAAAACGAAAGATCTGTCTGCTCTTGGGTCTCCCCCCGCTGTGGGCTGGCCTGGTGTCTTTTTCTGGAGGATTCCACCTGCTCCCACCGCATCCTGCCTTCTAGGCTGCCTTTTGTTTTTCAATGTTTTAAAYTTGGGGCTGAAAAGGCACTCATGTGTTCAAAATCTAAGAGGTTTAAAAAGGTAGACAGAAAAGTCCTCCCTCATCCCTGTTCCTGGCTCCCCAATTTCTTTTGTGTCTATCTCCTAGAGAGATTTTATAATTACCAAATATGTATATTTGGTTTTTTGGTTTTTATTTTACACAAATAATATATATTATACACACTATTTTGTACTTTGCTTTTTTTTTTCTTTTTATAATTACATAATTTGGGGCTGGGGCTGGGGCTCAGTGGTAGCACATTTGCCTGGCATGTGTGAGACACTAGGTTCGATTTTCAGCACTGTGTATAAATAAACTTAAAAAGGTCTATCAACAACTAAAAAAATATTTTTTAAAAAAATTACATAATTTATTTAGAGCAAAATGCACATGTGCATTTATGTACATAGACCCTGTTGAGACCAGGCAGATGCAGATACAGGAATTCCAGCACACCAAAAAGTTTGCATTGGCTCTTCCCAATTGATAATTTCACCACTGAGCAATCACTACTAGTGGCTACCGTCATAGATGCGTTTTTCCTGTGCTTGAACTCTGTATTAATGGAATCATATTAACATTAACTGATATTAGACCTTAATTTTATCAGTGGATGATGTGACTTGAAGCTTGCTCTCTATTTGCACAAAGAAGTTAAGAAGTTTCCTGGTTTTATTTTCTGGCTGCAGTGTTCTTTTTTTTTTTTTTAATTAAGGGACAATATTCTATATAAATTCAATCCTTTGAGATATTCTTGATGATGTCTTTCATTTGTTTATTTATTTTTAGTATGGTGCTGAGGATCGAACCCAGGGCCTTGCATGTGCTGGGCGAGTGCTGTACCGCTGTGCCCCAGCCCAGCCCGAGCCCCAGCCCCATGCAGTGTTCTTTTGTATGGCTGGAGCCTGCTTTAGTCAGTCACTGGTGATGGCCACAGGTCATTTCTGGTCTTCCTGCTGTATTCATACTGCAGAGATGCCTTGCTGATTTGATACCTGGGGGAGACTCTGTAGGTAAATTCCTAGGACTAGTTGCCGGCTCAAAGGGGAAACCCATGAGTGATTTTGATTGCTGTTGCCAAATTCAGCACCAGTGACTGCACCATTTGGAGAATGTGGACACTGGTGACTTTGTGGCTGGGAAATCTACTTGGTGGGGGGGGGGGACTAATGGCCCCTGGGAGAGGTTTCCTGGGGCTCTGGGATGTAGCTCCAGGAACCCCTCTGTGTCCACCCGCTGCAGGTTCTCTACCAAGTCCTGGCTGTCACAGGTCTGCCACGTGTGCCAGAAGAGCATGATGTTTGGAGTGAAGTGCAAGCACTGCAGGTGAAGGCGGAGGGTGGGAGGGAGAAATGCTTGGAGTTCAGGAGCAGTCCTGATACTTCATCCATGGCCTCAGGTCAAGTCCAAGGTCAAGAGTTCCTTATAACCTGCTACCCATAATCCCATTCAGCACACCAGGCCTCCCTAGGGGAATTGAAGTGAGGCACCCCTGCAAGAAGCRGGTATTTGAGGTGGGCTTTGAAGGATGAATAGAAGTTTAGCAGTTAGACTAGGGGAGAAGGAATCCAGTCCAGGAGGAAAGTGGGGCCTGTTCTGAGAATTGTAGGGAGTTCTGAAGTTCAGCCTTACACTTCAGCACATGAGGGGTCGGAGACCGGCAGGCAGGGGTAAAAACAGAGTTGGCTTCTGAAGGGCAAGAGTGAGAAGAGAATGTAGATTCTGTACAAAATCAGCTTTATTTTCTCCTAGCATTGTAGTTTCTAGTGGAAAAGAAGGACAAGTGGACAGCCGATGACCCACGGCTCAACCCACACTGTTCCCTATCTTGGCTTTAAATGGGGGACCTCCGGCTTTCCTACCTGTTCTGCGTGGAGAGCCCTGGATGACCCCAAACTCCACACTGCCCTGCAGCAGCAGTGTAAAATTGGTAGGGCACCAGCTGTCAGCCCATTTTACTGATGAGAGYACTGAGGCTGGGTGCCACCAGCAGAGCCCAGAGAAGTAGCCAGCTCTTTTCATTGCTGAGCTGGGAGCTGACCCTTAGGCCACACAGCAGGGGCCTGAGTCCAGGGGCTGCCCTTGGGACCCCTAGGGCCTTTGGGTAATGCAAACATTCTCATTTGTGTTTTGTAAGTTCAGATTTGCCTCAAGCTTTCTGAAGCTGGGTGGCAGGTCATCTTCTCTTTAGATGGGAGGAATACATGTGTGACCTGCGGTGAGTCACAGGGGTCACGAGGAACCGGTAGAGGACTGCAGAACATGGCAGGCAGCCGGCYGTGGCAGCTGCAGTTAAGATGGAGTGTTGTAATCTTTGGAGCTAATGTTTGTTGAGAAGTTTGTGGAAACTGAGGCAGTGGGGGTGAGAGCTACACAGCTGCTCAGATGAYGTGCACGCCCTCCCAGCGCTGACTCTGCCCCCTTTACCAGGTTGAAGTGTCACAACAAGTGCACGAAAGAAGCCCCGGCMTGTAGAATATCCTTCCTCCCACGTGAGTGCCCCGCCCTCTCCCCTCTCCCTGGGGGGGTGGTGGTCTGGAACCTTCCTTAGCCTGGTGTGACCCTGCTGATGAATTTCCTCCAACAGTAACAAGGCTCCGGAGGACGGAATCCGTCCCCTCGGACATCAACAACCCTGTGGACAGAGCAGCCGAACCCCACTTTGGAACCCTCCCCAAGGCACTGACGAAAAAGGTAGGGTTTGGTGGGGAGCTGCCCGCTCCTTCCTGCAGGGCGCYCCCCAGTGGAGGCTCGGTGGGGATGCAGGACCAGGCGCTCCAGGCCAGTACCTGTGACTGCGGTGGCCAGGAGGGATCCTGTCCTGGCCACTCAGCAGGCTCCATGTTCTATCCAAATGGTGGTTGTGCAGCTTTGGTTCCCACGCCCTTTCTTCTCCTCTGAGCCAACATTTCCTGAGCACTTACTGTGTGCCAGGAATTCTCCATTGACTCTTAAAATAGCTCTGAAGGGGCCTGGGGTTGTGGCTCAGGGCTGGAGTTCCTGCCTGGCACGTGTGAGGCACTGGGTTCCATCCTCAGCACCATATTAATTAATTAATTAATTAAAGTTTTTTTTTAAAAAAAAAAAAAAAGCTCTGAAGGGCACCTGCTGGAATTACCTGCATTTTCCCGCTGGGGAAGCTGAGCCCAGGGTCCCCCGAGAGCCTTTGTGCCTTTTTGCTMTGTCTTCATGTAATGGGAGGAGGGGCCCCTCTGGCCTCTTTGGTAAAGGCTCSTGTCCCATTGGACGGCCCCACCCTCAGGAGCTGATCACCCCTCCAAGGACCCCACAGCYCAGTACCATCACCTTGAGCCAGGAGTTCAGCAGCCGTAGGGGGACATTCAGGTGCTGGCAGGGCCACCACCCTGGGTGTGAGTGGCGGCAGTTCGTCCTCTTCTATGACCTTGAGTGAGCTGCTTGACCTCTCTGAGCCTCCGTTTTGTCCTGGGTGTGAAGGGGGGTCATGGTGCTTCGTTCACTGGGTGTCCCCGGGCGATGGGAATGTTCACAAGGTCACACGTAGGGCTGGGTACCGTCTGTCTCCTGTTATTTGTTTCCCAGCCTGTGACAGACCGCTGAAATTCTTAAAATATCTTAGTGCCCTCCAATGCCAGCCCCCCTGTTCCCACCCTGTCCTCTCCCCTCCGGTGCCTGGGGCCCCCTCGCACAGCCCTCACCCAGGCTCAGTCCCAGCCTGGCGCGTTTGCTCCTGCCTGTCCACCCTCAGCCGCCTGTCAGTGCAGTGGCCTCTCCAGGGCCACCTCCGCCCGCCCTCCTGCGCACACAGCTGGACCCGAGGCACTGAAGCTGGTGCTGCCAATGGTCCCTCTCACCACGCCCAGTGCAGCAAACCCATAGTGTCCTTCTGGGGTCCTGTTTGATCGTTGTTATAACAYGAGCTGCCAGTTGCTAGGGGCACTGGCCGAGATGGGGTTCATCCTGCTTCTCTCTGACCTCTTCTTCAGCCCCTTCCCCCTCTGAGCACCCCATTCCACTTTGGCGCAGATGCCCTGGGAGGCCAGGCGGTATCTTGCTCCCCATGTTCCTGATGCCTRCCTTGGGAAGCATTTGTATGGATCATCAAGTGGATACTCCCATTTTATGGGTTTCACACTGTGGCTCAGAGAGGTTAGGTAGTTTGTCCAGAGTCACACAGCTGCTGAGAGGAGGAGCTAGGACTTGTCCTGTCCTCAYTGCCACTGTTGAAGCCAAGGATTAGTGGAGGGTCTTGAGCCTTGGAGGATGAGCAGGAAGAGTGAGACCAGTCCAGCCTTCTCCTTTAGTTGGCACTGCACAGSGTCGGCTTGCTGACCAGTGAGGCCCACTGCACCAGCTCAGGTGGGCTCCATCAMGCTGTGCATCYCCCAGTCTCCAGGGCCTGCTGAGGRCACAGGTTGAACTTGGCACTTGGCCCTATTTTGAGCAACTGCCTCCTACCCTCTGAGGCACTGTGTCCAGGAAGCACTGGTTAGCCAGGCCACTGATGAGCCACCTTGAGCCCTGTGCTTGCTTTGGGGTGTGAAGGGAATGACAGTAACATTTAAGTTGGGACCACAGTGGGAACCAGGCCTGACCAACAAACCAGCTCCTGTGGTCACCTTCTGGAAGCTTCATTCCAGCTCTGGAATTCCTGACCCTCCAGGATGGCTGGTCGCACCAGCCCAGGGTTTTGCTCTCTCGGGATTTTGCAGCTGTATCTGCACCGAGAGTCCCAGTACMCTAGGGACAAGGTCTGCAAAGACAAGGACTGTATGCTCCTCATTTTCTTCTTACTTCTWGCAGAGCCTGGCACATAGTAGATGCTGCATGAACTTTTGTCAGAGTCTGGATTTAATTCACTTAAAAAAATAAAAACCTACTCTGCCCAACTCAGAGCCAGGCAGGCACTGGGGTGGGAGAAATGTCCATCCAGCAGASTACCTGAGGACATCTGCAGTTGACAAACTGCAGTTACAGTGCCCTGAGGAAGAGCTGCTGGGAGCTATAGGAGGAACTAGAGGAGGAGCATGGTCCCAGTCAGGGTCCAGGAAGGGCCTCTGGGAGGAAAGTGTGTTTGAGCTGAAATMAGAAAGATGAACGGAGCTGGGCGCGGTGGTGCACACCTGTAATCCCAGTGGCTCAGGAGGCTGAGGCAGGAGGATGGCAAGGTCAAAGCCAGCCTCAGCAAAAGCAAGGTGCTAATAAGCAACTCAGTGAGACCCTGTCTCTAAATAAAATRCAAAATAGGGCTGGGGATGTGGCTCAGTGGTCGAGTGCCCCTGAGTCCGATCCCCAGCACCCCCCCCCATCAAAAAAAAAGATGAACAGGAGCCTTTGAGAGCAGGGTCTCTGTGTGCGGCCATCTAATAAGACCTGGAAAATTTTAGTGCCGAGGGTGGGACCCTAAGGGCCCCTGGCTGGCCTTCTTTGCAGTGGGAAAGTGGGGGCTCCTGGCATGTGGGGGGCAGCCTGGTGGGGCAGTTCAGCCCCCCATTCCCCCACTCTGGTCCTGCAGGAGCACCCTCCCGCCATGAACCCCCTGGACTCCAGCAGCAACCCCTCCTCCGCCACGTCCTCCACGCCCTCCTCGCCAGCGCCCTTCCCGACACCAACGAAYCCCTCCAGCGCCACCACACCCCCCAACCCCTCGCCTGGCCAGCGGGACAGCAGGTTCAACTTCCCAGGTACCACACTTCTGGGCTTCTCCGGGTTCTCAGGGGTGCAGTCAGAAGACCCCTGGCGGGTTCAAGGTCGAAGGCCGCCACTGTCTATGGGATGCTGACCTCAAGGGCAGGAGCTCTGGGGTTGGTGAGGTTGCTGCGCCCATTTTACAGATGGGGACACAGAGGTTCGGAGACAGTGGTTGCCTTGAGTTTTACAGCCTGTAAGAGGCAGGGCCAAGCCCATGCCCCCGGACACACAGCAGGCTGAGTGTTCTTGGCCTCATCCCCACACTGTCCTCCTGTGCTGCAGTGGCTTCTGCTGGGCATTATCACTCACTCAGGGCGGGCTTCTCGGCCCCCCGTTGGCATAGCAGGCAGCATATTGAGCCAGAAAGCCTAGGACAGGGCTTTTGGACCTGTCACCTGCACACTCCACAGTTAGGGCCAACTACCCCAAAGAGACCTCTCACTTCCTTCCCATAAAACAAGGAAACCATGTCAAGTTAGAATTAGGTGGTACCTACCCCTGGTACTGATGAGGACACCGAGTCCCCACAGGGCTGCTGGGGGCGTAGGCCTGTGCCAGGGCTGATCTCTAGTGCTCCCCACAGCCCAGGATGCCCCGGGTCTRCAGAGAGCAGCCAGAATCTCTGTCCTGCCAGAAGCCCAGCCTGGGTGTCCTGCCTCTCCCAGTGGCAGAGCCAAGCCTGTTCACCGCTGTTGGGACTCAGCTGCTGCCTGGGCTCCTCTGGCAGCTCCTTGTGCCCTTGTCTCCGCCTCGGTTTCATTTGCAGTCCCAGAGGAAGGCAGGGGAGCGACTGTGACACTCCTGTTTGCTCCAGGCCCCACGGCAGACCCTCCGCCCTCTTGCACTGAGGGGTCCAGCCCGGCCCCCATCATGATCCCACCAGCCCCAGGCCCCGGGGGACAGAAGTTCAGCTTTCTCTGTGCCAGGAGATGCCCCTGGGGCTGCACCCAGCCAGCAGCAAGCCAGGTGACTTCACTGGTCCATCTCACCAGGGTCCTGGGGACCTCGTTCATGGGTGGTGAGACAGATTCTGTAGGGCTCTTTCTCCTTGGCTTATTTYTTTAATATGCACGTGGCTGGGTGTCTCCGGACATGGATGCCTGGTCCCAGTGCCCCCACCCCTTCCTGCAGTGCAGCGACGGCCCGTTTGATTTACCTCCTCTCCTGTTCTACTCTGTCGTTATTCACTGAAATCATCCCTTTTCAAAACCCCCTGGTTTGGCTTTTCCTAAAAGGAAGGGCCTATTTGAAAAACAATAGCTACAGGAAAAAATCCTTTTTGTGTGATATCAGCCAAACCCTGTCCACTTTCACTGATGTCCCATCRGGGCTGGGCCTCATTGTCCCCTGCGTGGGGCCTGACTCTTCCTGATCTCTTATTGGACCACTGGGACCCACCTCTCTGGGGCTGGGGTGGGACAAGAGTTAACCTGGGGAAAGAACTGCGACTCCTGCTGTCCACCTGCCCTAGGCTGCGGAGGAACCGTGTCGTTGGCCTACAAGGGTGACCCTGGGAAGGTGACCCTCCTTTTCTAGTGAGGCAGCTAGAGAGGTGAATCGACTCCTGAGGTCCCAGAGCCCCGTGGTGGAATGAGGTTGCCTTAAGTTGCGGGGCAGTGGCACGYACCCGTCGTTCTAGCAACTCAGGAGGCTGAGATGGGAGAATCACTTGAGCCCAGAAGTTCAAGGCCAGCCTGGGCCACAKAGGGAGACTCTGTCTCCAAAATACAAAACAAATCAAACAAGAGGAAGAATTCCATGTCAGATTCCAGAACCCCGGTGCATCCCTTAAGAGACATGTCTATGGGAGGAAGCAGGGAATGAGGTTGAAGCTCTCCAGGGGTCAAGGTGGACTGAAGGGCAGGAGGCCGTTCTCCCACACGCGACACTGTTAAAACTTTCTCAGAGCCACCACGTTTGCTCATTGTCTTCCCTCCTGGGCTCCCGTGCATTCTCCAGAGCAGGAGGCGGGGGGGGGGGGTCCTGGCTTTTTCCCAGAGCAGATTGCTGGACTGGGCTGTGTATCCAGGTGACACTGAGCCAGGCCCTGGAATCCCGGTCCTCRGGAGCCCCTGTACCCTGGGGCTCCTGCGGCACCCATGTCTTTCCTCTTTGCCTCCCTCCTGCATGGCTCAGCCTGTCCTTGCCAGGCCCACCTGGGGTGGAGTAAGCTGGGCAGGGCCGTCCCAGCCCAATAACCAGTTCCTGCCTCCCAAGCCCACGTGTCCCCCTCCTCCCTCGCTGTGTTTGCTGTTCTGTGTGTGTGACTCACCTCCTCTTCTGTTTAAAGCTGCCTACTTCATTCATCATAGACAGCAGTTTATCTTCCCAGGTGAGTCCTCTGCATGTTTCCACTAACTCACCCCTGCCGAGACCCCCCATCCACCCCGCCACACAGATGCCCTCTCTCTGGGTGCTTGAGTCCATCATGGCTGAGCAAGGGGGGGGGGGGGGGCAAGTGTCTAAGAGGAGGGCCCTGTGGCTGGACAGTGCCTTGCTGAGAGGGACCCTGGAGTCCATCCACTCCAGCCTCTTGCAAATAGACTTCAGGCCACTCATTAAAGGTCACCCCGCCAGGAGGTAGCAGAAGCAAGGCTAGAACTTGGGTTTGCAGAACGAGGGGAGAGGGCTTTGTTGTTGATGCTGCATGAGCACCTGTTCCCACGACCTTCCTTATACAATGAGAGGGAAGCACTACTTAGTTTTACAGAAGGGAAGCCATGGGGGGAGGTCTGCAGCCTTTGTTCGGTCAGCAGGCCTCACCTTTCTGAGCCTTGTCCCACAGTGCCACCTGCTGGCCATCTTCGGGACTGCCTCATTGTGCAGAGTTTAAAGGAGAGAATCAAATAGAGACAATCGATTGATTCTCCTTCACAAAAATTGTTTTGCACACCCTGGAAACCTTTGTGCCAGCCTTTGCATCTGACCATATTCCTGCCCCTAAGTGTTTTATAATATCAGCGCTTTCTTCTCCAGCTGAAGACAGCAAGCACCTTCTGTCTGTAGCTGGTTGTTTATTCTCTGAGTTAAACAAGACTGTCTTGAAATCACAGTGTTTTGGTTATCCCGGGATATTTTTGTTCCCCATCTCAGCTCCATTAGGGAGTTGGTTTGGAGAGTTTGTGAGTCCTTACCCATGTGGCTCTGCTTGGGTATTTGCAGGCCAGCAGCGGTCAGGACCCAGGGTCAGCGTCCATAGGCGGCCCTGTGAACAGCCGAGCTGCCTTTTACGGTTTTGTATCTGATTTTGTTGTCCCCCTCCATGCCTCCCCAGAGCCCACCTAGTTGCTACCTCTAGGACATGTACAGAGGAGAGCCCCCCAAATTTGGAAAATATTGTTCTTCTAGAAGCATCCATTTTGCCCTGGAGATGTGTCAAGGGCAGGGGAAGGAAATGCTTATGAAAGCAAAAAAATGAACATGTTTTGGGGCAGAATGCACAACATTCTTAACTTTTTAAGAAAAAGTATGAGCCTTCAGAGATGTTTGCCCTCCAACCTGGACTGTTTCTCCCCCAAATCTCCCAGTCCCCCCTCCCTAGGCATGTGCTAATCTTCTGTGGGAACATCCAAACAGGGTTGGGTGGGTGGTGGAAACACCAGGCCACTCCTGGCGTCTGCAGACATGAAGTAGTGATGTCTAGGGAGGTGCTAGCAGAGTCTCCCGAGGTCCAGAGCCCTGACTGCACAGTTGGGGTATATGGGTGCATTGCCCTAATAAGAAGGCCTACAGCTCCTTCAGCTTCTCCAAATCTGTGAGGACCTAGAGATGCTCACGCCTGGTTCCTTTGACCTTGAGAGGTAGCTTTGGAAGAAGCGCAGGGCAGGGGAGGTCTCATGGCTGAGCAGGGAGGGTCTTTGTCCAAGGCAGAAAAGGGCTGTTGATCACTTGGGCCACGGCCCTTTCCGGGGATCACAGTCTCTGTGTAGCTCTTTGTTCCCATGTCAGGGCCCATCTGTTCTGGAAACGCCCCAGGCCCGGGGTCAGTCTCCGTTGCCCAGCTTGGGCCCCCTGACATGTAGCGGTGACTTTCTTCTGGCTTGAGAGCTGTGTCACTGGTGACCCAACTCCTGAAGGCTAGGGGGTGGGGCCTTCACTCTAGAAATTCCCAAAGCTGCTTTGGACACCAGGTGTCACTAAGGAGCCCACAGGCTGTCCTGGAGACTGGCTCTGCCTCAACCAGCAGGTCCCTCTGGCCACCCGCCCCAGCCCTCGATGGCCCCGTTAGCTTTTCCACTTGCGTGCAGGGTGGGTTTGACTTCGGGGACTGGGGCTCACCGAGGCGTCGCCCTCTTTTTCTACCCCAGGTCCCTTCCTGGGATGGAGCTCTGTGGACAAAACCCCGGGCTGAGAGCCTGAGTCTGTATCAGGTTTGAGAGATGAACCCAAGTTGGTCCTGGGAGAAGTGGCCTGGTAGACAGAGGCAGCCACTCAGGGGACATCCACTTCCCTGGCTTCAGGCCGGTGTCTCTGGAGACATGGAGCAGGGGTCTCACACCTGTGTTTGTTTTGTTTCCTCCAGACATTTCAGCCTTCCCGCCGCCAGCCCCACTCCCCGACTCGGCCGACAGTGCCCGGTAGGCGTCCCTTCTCGTTCGTGAGGCTAAACCCCAATCCCTAACCCCCACCCCAAAACCTCCAACCCTCCCGTCCTGGACAGCACCGTGTTCCCGAGCCGGCCAGATGGAGAACTCGGGCTCACTCACCTGTGTTTTATTTGCCCTCTCTCAGCACAGTTAGCATGGGGTGGGGCTGCATGTGACCCAGAAGGGTGGAAAGAGGGCACTCAGCGTCAGAGACCTATTGGAACTGGCTCCATCAGGGCGTCCTTTCTCCCAGTTGGGCTGTGCTGGGTGCCGACTCCCATCGCCTCCTGTGCCCTAGTCCAGCGAAGCTGGCATCGCAGTCGATGTCATCTGAACCCACAGCCAGCTCAGGGCCACTAAGTTCCATAAGGTCACACTGGGAGGAAGTGACAGCCAATTCTCCAAGGCCAGGCTGTTGGATTCTAAGTCCTTCCTGTGTGTACTCTGAACCCATGTACGGCAGTGACAGATCCGAAGGGGCCTTGATGGTTATGTCCACCCTCCAGCCTCTGTCACCTTCCTGCACACTCAAGACAGGCTGGAGAGAAGGCTGAGGCCGAGAAGGGTGCACCTGGTCCCTGGCCTCTGCCTGTCGCCACAGCATCCACCCACAGATGGCTGGGCCACAGTGAAGGTCCAGGCCTGCCTGGTGGCCTTTTGTCTCAAGCCCAACCGGGGAGTCCCCTGCTCAGCCCAGAACCTCCTTAACCAGGTCTGTCTTTCTCTTAGGCTCGACGACCCACCCAAAGCCGATGTGTTGGAGTTTCCTGAGGCGGAGGTAAGCCAGGGTAACAGACCCACAGACAGACTTTGCTTTCCCCTCTCGGACCATGGAGGGCTCTGGGGAGAGAGCGGGTGTCTCGTCCTGGCACGGGCTTCCMAGATGCTTGCAGATGTGCAGAGTAGGGAAGAATGATGAAGGATGCCCCAAACAGCCTTCCTCTCACTCTTCTGGAGGCTAACTGGAATAAGCTCTGGGGTCTCAAGGTCCCCACTTCCTGTCCAGAGCCCTACACTCAGTCGGTCTGGGATCAGGTCAGACGTCTTCAGGTGTCAGTGCCAGGTGATTCTGATTTCGGGCAGGTTCAAGAACCACTGTCTTGTCCACTGAACTGAAGTGTATGTAACCTGAGCCTGGATCCCTGCCGTGCAGAGCAGCGTAGGGTCTGTTCCTGCTGCCCTGGGAGAGTCAGGAGCTCTGTGTTTAAACAACACAATATCAGAAGGGTGGCTGGGTTACATCCTCCACGCCAGGGACGTCCAGGCCCTTCCAAAACAAATTAGATGCTGCTCACTGGTGAATCTTGGAGCGTAAGCAGGATGAAGGATCTGGCGGTCACTTGGGTCAGCAGTCACATTTAGTGGATGAAGGACTCTGAGGCCCAGCGATGATAAATGACCTATCGCTATCCCCAGCAGAGCAGAGCAGAGTGGCAACTAGATCCCAGCCCTCCTGACCCTGTGCTTCTCCTCCCTCACCTGATGGGGGCCCAGGGACAGAGGAGAGAGGACCTGGATCTCTCCATGTTTTCCCACTTCCTTTTCAGGCTGAGGAGCCAGAGGCCGGAAAGTCAGAGGCAGAAGATGACGAGGACGAGGTGGACGACTTGCCCAGCTCCCGCCGGCCCTGGCGGGGCCCCATCTCTCGAAAGGCCAGCCAGACCAGCGTGTACCTGCAGGAGTGGGACATCCCCTTCGAGCAGGTGGAGCTGGGAGAGCCCATCGGGCAGGGCCGCTGGGGCCGGGTGCACCGTGGCCGCTGGCACGGCGAGGTGGCCATCCGCCTGCTGGAGATGGACGGCCACAACCAGGACCACCTGAAGCTCTTCAAGAAGGAGGTGATGAATTACCGGCAGACGCGGCACGAGAACGTGGTGCTCTTTATGGGGGCCTGCATGAACCCCCCCCACCTGGCCATCATCACCAGGTGAGCTGCCCGGGAACCCTGAGGAGGCGTGGAGGTTTTCATAGAGGCATAAAGAAAAAAAAAAAACCAATGGGAGTAAATGCCCCACTCACATAGCCCTAATGTCATTACAAAAATAAGTGAGCTAGGCTGGTAGGTGCACACCTGTAATCCCAGCAGCTCGGGAGACTGAGACAAGAGGAGCACAAGTTCAAAGCAAGGCCCTAAGCAACTCAGGGAGACCCTGTCTCTAAATAAAACCCCAAATAGGGCTGGGCATGTGGCTCAGTGGTCAAGTGCCCTTGAGATCAGTCCCCAGTACCTAATAAATAAATAAGCTGATCTCTCTCTAAGGATACAGAAAATTCCAGTGTTCCATAAAAGGTACAAAGTATAATCCAGTCTACTGCCTTCCCCCGCAACTGGGCACTTCTCCCCCAAGATGGATAAACACCAGCATACCTTCCACTAAAACAAAGGAGTAGGCATGTGCTCATGGAGTTTTTCCTTTATAAAAATACGCAGGAAAGATCACACTGGTTCATACTTGCTTTTTAAACTTGGTTACAGTTCTGAGGTCCACTTTTCTTTCTCTATGCATTGACAGTGCTGGGGATGGAACCCAGGGCCTCATGCATGCTGGGCAAGCACTTGACCTCTGAGCCACACCCCAGCCCCTGCCACTTGGACGTGTACCACCCATTTCTACAGCAGGAAGTGCCCACTGGTACCCTGTACCCACAGCAGTGTCCCCTCCCTGGAGCAGCAGGGCTGTAACCCTGAACCAGCTTTGCCCACAGCATCTAAGAAATTGTTGTTTACCTTAAAATCAGGAAAAGCAATATGAGGTCATTAGAGAAATTTGGAAATATACATGGAAGTTTCCAGAAGAATCTAAGCATTGCTTTATTTCTATCAGGCCAAGAGATCCCTCAGTAACATTCTGTTGACACTCCCCATACCCGGACCCTGTGCTTGGAAAAGCAACAATGTAATGAACAAAATAAAAATTAATTTCCATTTAATGAACAAAATAAAAATTAATTTCCATTTGGCTTCTGTCAGAGGTCCGAGTACCCACTCCCCAGGCCTCCTGAGCAGGGAGCCCTCCCCAGGGGCATGCAGTTCCAGCCAATGCAGGACAACCTGATGCCTAGGGAGCCTGGCTGTGGTCACACCAGGTGACAGTCCCCAGGGTCAACTGCCAATGTCCGTCCATCCATTCATTCATCCATCCTTCCCTCCTCCTCTCAATTCCACGAGAGATCGGAGTCAGTGGAACAGGGGAAGGAGCTGCCTGTTCTCTGAGGAGACCCAGGACACAGCTGCTTTGCTGGATATCACTCTGATGCCCCTGACAGCTGTCCCGCTGCCTTCTCCCTAGCTGCACATTCTTTATTAAAAAAAAAAAAAAAAAAAAGGCTCTGGAATCTAAAAATAATAAGAACAATAATGAGCATCTTTACCATGAACCTCAAAGCCTTTGTGTGGCCTCTTGTGTCCCTCAAAGACCTGGTTCTCCCCTTTTGAGTTTTCCTGCTTGTGGCCCGTCCTTCCTGCTGAGGGTGGGCTGGCTGCCCTGACTCCCGGGAGCTTTGGTGAACTGTTTCCTCGTGCAGGGTGGCAGGCCTCTGAGTGTGCAAGTGAGCGTGCTCCTGAAGGCCTGCCCACCAGGATCGGTGTCGGGCTTGGTGAAGGTCATTGATGTTGAGGGGTGGCGAGTCCTGAGGAGGCAGGTGGGCCCCGTCCCCTCCAATGGCTCCACAGGGGTAGGGTCAGGCTGTCCAAGCCCCGGACCTCTGACCCACCCCACCACCCTCGACAGCTTCTGCAAGGGGCGGACGTTGCACTCATTTGTGAGGGACCCCAAGACGTCTCTGGACATCAACAAGACGAGGCAGATTGCTCAGGAGATCATCAAGGTAAAGGGGTGTACAGCTGCTGGAGGGTGGGTTTCCGGCTGGTCCCAGAGCAGTCCCCCCCCCCCGTCCTGCTGTCCCTGCTTGTGCCGGGGTGGTTTGGGGTGCTCTGCCTCGCCTGCTAGCTGGAGCTCCCAAGGTGGGGCCCACCCTCTTCCTTCTCAGAGTCAGAGCTGTTCACTTGGTCAACATCGATAGAATTAAATTAGTTGGAGAGGTTCTCAGTTATGTTCTGAAGACAGTTTGGCTCCTGTTCACACCAGGTGTGTGACCTTGGGCAGGTTGTTGCGCCTCTCTGAGCCTTGTAAAATGGCGATATCAATACACCCTCCTTCATTGGATCTGTGCAAGGATAAAATGCAGTCCTCTGTGCAGAGAGAATTTGGCACAAGGCAGGGCATTTGTTGAGGGTCTATTTGGATTGGTGACTGAATGAGGGGACTGGGATAAGGGGGCTGGTATTTAGCTTCTGGGGCACAAAGGGACCCACACTTTCTGCCTTAAAGTTTCCACATCTATATTCTTCGAGGGCAGGCTCCCAGGGCTTTCTTTCATCATTTCAACAGTAATTCCTTAAAAGTGAAAGAAAAGCTCATTGGTTGCTTTCTTTAGCAACAAAGAGGCCCAAATAAAAATTAGAATACTGATAGATGGGACTTCCTCTCCTCCTCGGTTTGTGCTAAAAAGCTTTCTTCTACCAGCGCCATCGAGTTTCCGTTTTGTCTTTCTCTCCTCCTTGTTGTCCTGCCTGCCCCCCTCCCTCTCCTCCCCTGTTCTGACCTTCAGTCCATTTTGTGCACGTGGGATCAAAAATCACAGCGACATTTGTGGACGAACCAAGTTTGCCATGTGACGTGTCCCCGTGGCTAAGCACAGGCCAGCGGGAGCTGGGGGAGGTTTCCTCTTGCTTCCTCCAAGTCCCCCGCCTTCCCCACTCCCCCAAGCCCTCTCCAGTCCTCCCAGAGCTGGGAGGCTGCCTGGCTCCTGAGTCATGATCAATGACACCTGGAGATTCCAGGAACCAGGAAGGAAATTACTAAAAGGTTTCAGAAGCGGCCTCTGCTGGCTTATTTGATTTCTTTCCTGCTGCGAAACCATCTTCTTCCCCTATGGGCCTTCCAGCCACAACTTCCTTCATACATTCATCTCTGATGCTCTGGGGCGGGGGGGGGGGGGGGGGGGGGGGGGGGGCCAAGCTAAGTAAAAGGGGCCTAACTGTTGGTTAGGAGAGGGTCTGAGGTCAGGAGTGGCCACGGAAACACGAAATTCTGGGAAAGGAGACTCGGTACTCCAGACCCAACGCTTTTCATCTTGTCTTTGTAAACTGGCCTTTCTCAGTCTGTGACACCTGTTTTGTAAATAAGCCTCAGAGAGGGCGAGCTGCTTGACCTTAGGTCCACAGCTGGTCCCTGTCTGGGCCTCTGTGTGGCTCCTGGGCAAGGTGCGGGCCTGGGTTTGGTTTGGGAAGTGGGCAGATGTTGCATTCAGATCAGGGTTTGGGAAATGAAGCAAGCTGTTCTTTCCCGGAGCTCCCTGTCCCCCTGTCAGGTGACCGCTCTCAGCAGGCCTGGGGGTGGAGCCCCAGCAGCTGCACACACACCCCAGGCCCTTCCAGAGGGGAGTCGCCTTGTTTAAATTCTCCAGCGCCCTCCGGACCCACCGGGACTGCGCTCCGGYTAGGGCTGAGTTGCTTCTGGTTCTGCCTCATGGTTGGTAGATCCTCTTTCCTAGATGTGGCTTGTTTGTCCCTAAACATCACCCTCAGACCCCTGTATGGCCTGGGACATGTCTGCATAAGGCCTAAAGCTCCCTCGACTGTGGGAGGTCAGGGGGATTTTTATCACTTTGACCAAAATAGCTGATAGGAACAGTTGGGAGGAGGAGAAGTTTGTTCGGGGCTCATGGTTTCCATGGTCTCAGTCCACGGTCCCCAGACTCCCTTGCTCTGGGCCTGACCTGAGCCAGGAAACCGAGGGAGGGAGGGAGGGCCAGAGTCACTGCCTCARAGCCACCACTGAACCTTGCTGCTCTGAGGACTGTGCTTCCAGCTCATGAACCTTTGGGGACATTTCAGATCTGAACCGTAGCAATGTCTTCTTTCCGAGCTGGAGGGGGTCCATTTCAGCCTTGGTGCCTCTCTCTGGTCCCCAGGGTATTGGGCTTTGCAGGAGGCCTGGGCTTGGGGGTTGAAAACAGCTTTGACCTTGGATGAGATCACTCTGTGTCAGTCACCTGTGTTCCATGCATCTGGCTCATCAGTGTCCAGTCCAAAGAGCACTGATCAGCAATTTCCCACCTTGCACTTGACAGATGAGGAGACCGAGGCTCAGAGAAGTTAGCACTGCGTCCAAGGCTACACAACTAGGGAGGGAGAATCCGAGCAGAGATGGACCGTGAGACCTGGATTGCAGTTTTCATCCAGGGCTTCTTTGGCCACAGCATGGATATTGGGAATACCCAAATTTGGGGACCCCTCTAGAAAGGTCTCTCTGTCTCCCTTTCTGAGCCCTTGCCCCACCTGAGAGCAGAAATGAGCTGTGTAAATCCTGATGGAGACTGCAGCTCATCTGGGCCCTTTATGGTATTTTATTTTATTTCTTTAGCTAGCAGTCCTGGAGATCAGACCAGGGCCTCATGCATTTTGTACAGCTGAATTACACCCCAGCCAGCATTATTGATCTGTATATAGTCAACCTTCCTGACCCCCCCACCAATCACCCTATCCACATCTTATCCAAGTGTGAGGTGGCTATTTGGTAGCCCAATGGTGTAGACAGAGTATTCGCTGGCTTAGAATCCGATCTGAGCTCTGCTACTTAACTGCTGTGTGGTTAGGGGCAAGTAACTTCCCCTCTGAAGCATCCCGCCCAGGGCCTGGCCCAAGTTGGAGCTCAGTCATCGTCACTTTGACTAATGTTGAGGCTTGCTATCTTCCCAGGGCATGGGGTATCTTCATGCCAAGGGCATCGTGCACAAGGATCTCAAATCCAAGAATGTCTTTTACGACAATGGCAAAGTGGTCATCACAGACTTTGGGCTGTTTGGGATCTCAGGAGTGGTCCGAGAAGAACGGTGAGCTGGCCTTGGTGTGTGGGTGGGACCGGAGAAGCTGGCGTGCTGGGTGTATCTGGGGTCCATGCACATGGCCCTCCCCACAGAAAAGCCCAGGCTGGTGTGGTCCTGCCCTGTGGTTCTGGTCCAGAATCCCATCTGGTGAGATTTGAGTCCCTCCTGGTGCTTGATTCACAGGGAGTCTGGGTCCCCTGACTCATGTGTCACCTCACTGCTCACAGAACTGGATGAGGGACCAGGGTCACGTCCCCATGATGAGGAAGAGCTTCAGGTTTTATTTCCTCTGGTCTTGAAGGGGGCAGGGTAGGGAGAAAGGCTGTCTCCCCGCACCAGAGAGAGCGGCAGCTGGGCTGCAGGGCCCCGCAGGCAGGCCTGAGACCCGGGCAGACTGTCCCACCCTCCCAGCAGAAAGACTTGGGCACCTTCACATGCAGGTCCCTGCCAGTACCATCCTTGGCCTGCTTTCCTAGAGGAGCCCAGGGAGGGTCCCCGGGACAGTCCCTAGAAGCACCCGTGTAGGAGCAGGAGCAGCGTTCTGTGCTCGGGTGCCTTTTCTGCACGGGGCTGGGGTGGTTTGCTGGCCCCGAGGCAGATGTGGGCAGGGCAGGTCTCTTTGCTGCCCACTGAAGGGCCTGTATTCTCATCCTGGCCTCCAGGCGTGAGAACCAGCTCAAGCTGTCCCACGACTGGCTGTGCTACCTGGCCCCTGAGATCGTGCGCGAGATGACTCCTGGGAAGGACGAGGACCAGCTGCCCTTCTCCAAAGCCGCGGACGTCTATGCTTTTGGGTGAGCAGGCCCCCAGTGCACCAAGGACAAGCAGGAGGGCCCCAATCCGGGGCAGGAGGCTGAGGCAGGAGGATGGCTTGTCCAAAGCCAGCCTCAGCAATAGTGAGGTGCTAAGCAACTCAGTCTCTAAATAAAACCCAAAATAGGGCTGGGGATGTGGCTCAGTGGTCGACCCGAGTTCAATCCCTGATACCAAAAAACAAAAAAAAAAAAAAAAAAAAAAAAAATTAGTTTTAACAATCAGTTTATTTAAAATATTATCATTTTATGGGTTGGGGTTGTGGCTTAGTGGTAGAGCGCTCGCCTAGCACATGCGAGGCCCTGGGTTTGATCCTCAGCACCACATAAAAATAAAATAAAGATATTGTGTCCATCTATAACTAAGAAATAAATATTTTAAAAATGTTATCATTTTAATGTTTGATCAATATAAAAAAAATCAAGGAGGTGTTTCATATTCTTTTTCCTACTAAGTCTTCGGAGTCCGGTGTGGGTTGCTCAGCAGCCTCATGCTGCAGGTGGTCCCCACGTTGGACCGTGCAGGTGTAATTAGTGTCCCTGTCCCAGTAAGTTGAGAACGCTAAGGGGATTTGAAGAGGCTGAGGAAGGCTCACCCCCAGCCACTCTGCACTCTCTGGGGGTGTCTTTCCCACGGGGGTCCGTGAGGGCCAACTCTCCTCCCTGACCTTGGACTGTGTCATTGCCTAAACATGATGTGTCCCTGAGCTGGGCGTGGTATTTTGTTACTACTTCAACATCCTCATGATCCAGGCGTCCGCCCCTCTGGTTGGGCAGTTGTGTGCCAGGATCTCTCAGTAGAGAGTGGCGAAGCTGGGCTCCTACTTGGGCCGACTGACCCCATCCCTCCTGCGCTGCCTTGGCCCTCTCACCAGCATCGCAGCAGGCTGGGAGGGGCCTCAGGGATGCCATCACACCATCACCCAAAGCCTGGAGAGGAGGAGGGCTGGAGAAGGGTGCTGGTCCTCAGGCTTGGCTCCTGGCTCTGTGGCAGCCAGGTCTCTGGCCACGGAGCCCCGGGCGGGAGCTCACCCTATGGACGACCCCACAGGACTGTCTGGTATGAACTACAAGCAAGAGACTGGCCCTTTAAGCACCAGCCCGCAGAGGCCTTGATCTGGCAGATTGGAAGCGGGGAAGGCATGAAGAGAGTCCTGGCCTCCGTCAGCCTGGGGAAGGAAGTCACCGTGAGTAGCCACCCAGAGGGACGCAGGGCTAGAGGTTGGACTGGGGAGGGTATGACCTGGCTGCCCCTCCTTCAGCCATCAGGGAAGAGACCACTCCTCAGTGGTCTCAGCTCTGCCACTTCAGGTGTCAAATTAGACACTAAAAACAATACTCGCTTATTGAAAATGAGGGAAAGCAGGGAAGCCTAAAGAAAAAAATAAAGCCCATCCTGTATCACCCCACGTTAACTTTTGTCTTCATTTCCTTCCAGTCTTTTTTCAGGGGGTGGGTGGAGATATAGTCTTGCTAAGTTGCTTAGGGCCTCCAACTTGTGATCCTCCTGCCTCAGCCTCCTAAGTCAATGGGATTATAGGTGTGCATCACGGTGCCCAGCCCCTGTCTTTCTGGGTTTTTTTTTTTTTAAGATGAAGTTTTTAATTATTGGTGAGATGAAAAGAGAATCAATTCTTATATAATATTTATACGAAAGAAAAATTTAAAAATCACCACTCAAAATACAAATAGTGGGGATAAGCTTTGGCATCAGATCTTTCTCCATAATTGCTGAGGGGCCGGCTCTTCCAGCATTGGCTGTGGGGAGCTTGGGGGTGCGGAGACACCCCTCCAGAGACCATTTCAGAGAACTGCATCTGCTGAATTGCACAGCAAAAAATAGCTTTTATAGTGGGTATGTGCCAGTTTACATATGACAGTCACGATAGGCCAGAGGTGATACACAACATATCATATTACGGGAGTCCAGACACCAAGGGTTCAGAAGCTGCCACGCAGGCTGGCCGTGTACCAACAGGGGAATAACTTCCTGTCAAAGGAACAAGGAAATTGCTCTTGCTAGTGTTCTGACAGCACTTTGTCCCCAAATATTGCATTCTATGTTAGGACATCCCTGCTGCACCATGAGCAAGATAAGCCTTCCTCCAAGAGGGTCCAGAGTCAGGCCCATCAACACCTAATATTTTTCTTGACTGCTCAAGAACAAATCGAAGTTTCCATGACAAACTTGTTCTCACAATGCTGAATTTCATAGTTGCTGAATTCTCATTTTTGAACAGATTTTCTTGAATGGTTTCCTTGCACTTGTAAGTCTCCCGGTCACAGCACAATCTGTAAACTCCTGGCCTCGGCACTGTCGGTGTGATAGGGATAAGCATGTGTCCATGTTCACGCACCAGAGGGGACGACACAGCCCTGTCATTAGTAACTCCCTCAGGTATCTGGGCAGCAGAACAGTGGAAACAGTCATCCAGGTTTAGACCTCTGGAGGCTGTGCGTTTCTAAAGTCATGAGCCATGTTGGCAGGATCATCACCTGCAAACTCTAGACAGAGGATGAATTCAGCTTCATCTTTTTTTTTTTTTAGAGTACCAGGGATTGAACTCAGGGGCACTTGGCCACTGAGCCACATCCCCAGCGCTATTTGTAATTTATTTAGAGACAGGGTCCCACTGAGTTGCTCAGCACCTCGCTTTTGCTGAGGCTGGCTTTGAACCCTCAATTCTCCTGCCTCAGCCTCCCAAGCTGCTGGGTTTACAGGCATCAGCCTCATCTTCCTCCAAGACCTGCTAGATCTCAGTAGATTCCTTTATGGACTGGTAGCGAGCAGCTAGGGCATCTTCAGAGGACTCATTTAAAATGGCAATTTGATAGATTCACTTGGTTTCACAGAAATGCCTGTCTTCTAGTTTAAGTACACAATAATTGTACAGATACACTCCCCCAAGAAGGGCATCAAATGCTCATGCACAGCTCCAACACCAGGCTTTGCCCCCTGGAGACCCCTGCAGCTCAGGTGCTAGGCAGGCTAGGTGACAAGCACCTCCCCACCCCTGGAGTGTCCTCTGGGCCTTGCTCTGGGCCTGAGTCAGTCAGAGGCTGCCTTCCCCAGGAGGTGTCCTTGGGCACCTCAGGAAGGTCATGGTGGACTCTGGACATGGGGCTGGGCTCCTGGGGGTGGCTGCAGCCTCCTGCCTGGGCTCTGGGGCAGCTCAGATGGCAGCCAGAGCAGCTGCTGTCAGTTCACAACGTCTCTTTTACATGACATTTTATTTTGCTCATTATCTCAAATCATTAGCAAATCCTATTGTCTGTGTGGCCTCTGGCTGCACCACCATGTCACTGCCTCTGTCACTGCCTGTCGAGGTTATTTCTAATTTGACCTTTATGGTAATATTCAGAAGGACGTCCTTGTATAAATCAGAGTGTGTGAATGTTATATCTGGGGAAAAAAAAAAAWTTTTTATCAAGTTCTCCTGGCGACCACCTGGGTTCCCCTTCTGCACACTTAGCACCTTGGAGCAGAGCGTCGGAGCTGGACGGGGGCCGCAGGAGAGGCAGGGCTCAGCTACAAGTCAGAATCATCTGGCAGCTTTGTAAATACACCAGGGTCAGGGGCTCCCCCACAGGAATACGGATTTAATCAGCCTGGGATGAGACTAAAGTCATAGTTAATTTATTTTTATTTTTTAGAAAAGCTCCTCAGATGATTCTGTAGCATAGCCAGTGACCTGAACTAATCGGAAGGCTTTCTTTGAGTGATGAGGGATTGGTACTGTTGGTGAGCAGCCAGGGTCCTTCCCGGAGAAGCGATCCTGTCCAAATATTTTGCACTTGAATCTGATGACAGACACTCCAGTAGAACAAAGTAGATCAAATGTAATGTCATTTTAAATGAGCATCTTCAGATGCCTGGACTAATTGGAAGGATTTCTTTTAGACCAGAGTGTAGAAGCTTTCTAAGAACATAGATTGAAGCCAGGTGCAATGGCGCATGCCTGTGTTCCCAGCTATTCCAGAGGCTGAGAAAGGAGGATCGCAAGTTCCAGACCAAGCTTAGCAATTTAGCAAGATCTTGTCCCAAAATAAAAAATTAAAAGGACTGGGACTGTAGCTCAGTGGTAGAGTCCACCTGGGTTCAAGGCTGTACCAAAAAAAAAAAAAAAGGTGGGGAATTAAAGCCAGGTGGGTGGCACATTGGGATTACATTTTCTTCTTTGTGGGCCTAGCTCTTACGCTCCATCGATTCTCAAAGGCTCCCAATTTTATTGGCTTCACATTTGGACCATGACTTTCCTGTGAAATTTTAGGTTTTTCCTGAAGTTTCTTTTTTAAAGTTTTTTTTTTTTTGTAGTTGCAAATGGACAGTAAATGCCTTTATTTTATTTGTTTATTTTTATGTGGTGTTGAAGATGCAAATGCTCTACCACTGAGCTACAGCCCCAGCCCCTCTTTTTTCTTTTTTGTAGTTGAACATTGACAAAATACCTTTATTTTTGTTATATGGTGCTGAGGACCAAACTCAGTGCTTCACATGTACTAGGCAAGCTCTCTACCACAGAGCCACAACCCCAGCCCCTCCTATAGATTCTAATTGCTTTTTTACTCTCCCCAATGAGGATTCCCTGTGTAGTCCAGGCTGACCTCAAACTCCTGGGATTGAGTGATCCTCCTGCCTTRGCCTCCTGAGTAACTGAGACTACAGGCACCACCGGGCCCAGCTTTTTTTTTTCTTGTTGAAAGAACAGACAGTTTTACCATATTCCTGAGGGGTTTCTTTTTGAGGGGCGGGGTACCAGGGATTGAACTCAAGGGCATTCGGCCACTGAGCCACATCCCCAGCCCTATTTTGTATTTGATTTAGAGACAGGGTGTCACTGAGTTGCTTAGTACCTCATTTTTGCYGAGGCTGGATTTGAACTCGTGATCCTCCTGCCTCAGCCTCCCGAGCCACTGGGATTACTGGTGTATGCCACCACGCCTGGCTCCTAAGGTCTTCGTATTCCTTCTGCCTTTATTGTTTATTGAATGGCCTCTGTACCATACTCTTTTTTTAATTCATTTTTTAAATTTATATATGACAGCAGAATGCATTGCAATTCTTACTATACACACAGAGCACAATTTTTCATATCTCTGGTTGTACACAAAGTATACTCACACCCATTCGTGTCTTCATACATGTACTTTGGATAATAATGTCCATCGCATTCCACCATCATTTCTAACCCCCTGCCCCCTCCCTTCCCTCCCATCCCTGTCCCATACTTTTCTGATGATTTAAATCGATGGGATTTCAGGCTTGCTGCAGTGCCATGGTCCTTCTGAGTTTGTTGTTGTTGTTGTTTGTGATTCATTCCTGGGTCACTTGCATGATTCTTCATCGCTCATAACTTTCCTCCTTTATTTTTCCTCCAGCAAAATGAGAGTGAAACCGAAAGACACTGCCACATCTTTAAATCCTTGCGTGCTAAAAAAGTCCTTATTTTCTCTGCACGCCATGAGGAAAATTCTAGGTTCACAATCATTTTCCCTCAGAACCCAAATGTTTGCTCTGCTGTCCACTCACACCCAGTGCGTTATTGAGAAATCTGCTGTTGGGCTGATTCTCAACCTTTTAGAGATGCTGTGTCTTGTTCTTTCCAGAAGCATCTAGGATCTTTTGTTTATCCTTGCTATTGAAACATTTCATAAAATTTTTTTTAAGGGAGATTTTTCTGTTGGGCCTTTTCAGCTGAAGATTTCTGTTTGCTTTGAATGTTTCTGGGAAATTTTATGTTTTTCTTTGATAACTTCCTGCCCTGTTGCTTGTTTTCTCTGGTGGAAATTCCCATTGGGTGGAATTCGGTCCTTCTCAATGAGTCTCTGTCCTTTCATACTTTTGGTCCCTTCCTATCTAAAAGTGTCCACAGCCTGGGGAATTTCCTTGCTTTTGATTTTCTAACACTGCTCCTGTTGGGGTTCAGAAATGATGTTTTTGCTTTTAAGCACTTTTATTTTTATTATACCCTAATCGTTTTAGTTGCTGATCTTGTTAAGATATGCATGACAGTAGYGTGCATTTTGACATAGGATACATACGTGGAGTAGGACTTATTCTAATTAGGATCCCATCTTGTGGTTGTCTGTGATGTGGAGTTTCGCTGGTCGTGTGTTCATATATGAACACAGGAAAGTGATGTCCAGGTCATTCCACCGTCTTTCCCGTTCCCATCCCCCTCCCTTCCCTTCCTTCCCCTTTGGCTAATTCTGTGAACTTCTTTTCTTCCTGATGTTTATAAATGGGTAGAGGACCTTCCTTACACGTACACTTCTGGAAGGCAGGGTTTTGTTCTGATTGTCTCTGGTCTTTCTCTGGAAGCACCCCATGGGGTCTGCTGTGTTTTGGATCACACTCCTGCGGTGCTGACAGCCTGTGTTGCTATGTTGAGTGTCTGTGTCCTGCACTTGTGCGGGCCTGTTGTCCCACAGGGGCATCTCCTGAATCACAAGGCTGTGGGTGTGCTGTGCGCATGCGTGGATCCAAATGCCACAGTGAGAAGGGCTTTCCTCTGCTGGCTCTTAGCTGCCACATGTGTATTAGGCCTTCTTGGGGACGCCGAGGCCCCTGCCTCGGTTGTCTCCATTGTAGCCCACCCTGCACAATATTCCGAGCACCTCGCGTGTCACCTGTGAGCGCTGTGCCTTCCACTTTCTATCTTCCAAGAACCAGCCCCTGACCCTGCCACTTCTCTTTCCCACCTCCATCTGTTCCCCTGTTATTTCAGGAGTGGGGGGTCTAAGAAGGGAGGAGGGAGCTGGCAAGTTCATGCATTTCATTTTAAACTGGAAGCTTTAGAGCTCTTCTGAAATACGGTTATTTCTCAGCACTCCATGTCACAGGGTACTGGGGGCGGGAGGATACCAGCTAGGTGCTTGAGAGCATTGGAGGGTCCCTTGGTGGAGGCCCCTAGCCACGCCCTCTCCCTCCCACCAGCTCCCACAGCACTGAGGGCAGCTCCATTTGCAGGAGATCCTGTCTGCCTGCTGGGCATTCGACCTGCAGGAGAGACCCAGCTTCAGCCTGCTGATGGACATGCTGGAGAAGCTGCCCAAGCTGAACCGCCGGCTCTCCCACCCTGGGCACTTCTGGAAGTCCGCTGAGTAAGTACCCCTCACCGAGCCAGACCTGCCAGCAGGCCCCAGGCCTCACCTGGGGTCCCAGCAGGCACTTTCTGCTGGGCCCAACCCCCTGCTCTGGGAGGGGTACAGAGCACATTAGCCCCAGGGATGCCAGGGTTTCGTTTGCCAACTTTATGTTGAAGACTCCCTTTGACAGGCAAACTCCCCCAGTTCACACCCGGGAACATCCACATACCACTATGACCAGGTGAGGCCAGGAGAGAAGGTTCTGCCCTGGGAGGGGCAGGAGGGCGGGTTGGAAGTCAGAGCCACGTGGGTGCTGAGTAACCCCACAACAAGCAGAGCCAGGATCCTTAGAATGGCGTGACTCAGACCTGGTGCTCAAATCAGAGGTGTTGAGCATCAAAAACTGGCCCCAGGTCACTCAGCCTTGTGCCCCAGCCTTGTGCAGTAGCTGGGTGCCTGACGCCCTTCCCCTCTTTATGTAATCACACGACCTTTGTACCCCGGGCCTGAAGGCAGTCCCTGCAGGGCAGAGAAGCCACCGTCATGTCTCTTGCATTCTGTTTTGTTCCCTTCCTTCTCTCTCTCTCTCTGGTGGCCTTGCCCAGAACACTCCAAAAAAGACCTCTGCCCTGCCTCGACCTTTGTTGTGCGGATCTGGGGCCTGAATTCTGAGCCTCATTTTCTACAACTATAAAAAGTGGAGGCTGGATAAGATCCAGGGGGCACAAACTTTTGCTGAGAGGAGTCATCTGGTCAATATTTTAGACTCTGCAGGCCAAGAAGGAAGTTCAGATTCTAACCTGACATTGGCATTCGCAGTGTGCAGAGCGTCTCTGTTACCACGACTCTAGGGCAGGACTCCCCACTGTCAAGATGGAGGCCAGCCAGCTAGCTGTGGGCCAGCTGCTCTTGATCATGGAAATCTGAGTTTGTGTCATTTTCATACATCGTGAAATATTCTTTTTTTTTTCCCCTTCTACCAACCATTAGAAAAGTCAAAATCTTCTTTGGTGGGTAGATTATATAGAAACAGGTGGCAGGCCATAATTGACAACCAGGCTGGGCTCCTGGATTGAGATGAATAGTTTTAGATCTTTTTAAGGCCAAAGACTCTTTCTAAAAGTGAACCCTTCCACAGAGCCCCAATATTTAAAACAAATAATTGCAGGTTCAAAGCCAGCCTCAGCAAAAGCCAGGCGCTAAGCAACTCAGTGAGACCCTGCCTCTAAATAAAATATAAAATCGGGCTGGGGATGTGGCTCAGTGGCTGAGTGCCCCTGACTTCAATCCCTGGTACCAAAAAACCAAAACAGACAATCAATCAATCAATAGATAGATAGATAGATAGGAGCGCCCTAGATGGGGAGTAGAGGGCAAGAACCTGGTGGCTAACCCCCCTGCCAAGGCTGCCCTGGCCCCCAGCCCCTGTCTCCACCTAGTCCCTGGAGAAGCTGCAGGCCCAGAGCTCACCCCTGGTGCCCAGACGTGTGGTGGTAGCATCCCTCTTTCTGGAACAGGTCAGAGAGGCCTTCCAGGGATAAGTCTGTCATATGTTCTTTTAAAACCCGTTGGCTGGGCACGGTGGTACACACCTGTAATCACAGCAGCTCCGGGGGTGGAGGCAGGAGGATTGCAAGTTCAAAGCCAGCCTTGGCAAAAATGCAGAAGGCACTAAACCACTCAGTGAGACCCTGTCTCTAAATAAAATACAAAGTAGGGCTGCGGATGTGGCTCAATAGTCGAGTGCCCCTGAGTTCAATCCCCAGTACCTCACCCCTGCCAAAAAAAAAAAAAAAAAAATGAATAAAACCCTTTGATCAAAACCTTAGCTCATGGCTGTTTGGCTTGCCCGTAGTTGGCCATGTCCTCTTTTGAGGAAGCACCAAACTGATTAGGCCCCAAACCTCAGGTGAGGATTGGTCCCAGCATGAGTCACCCCAGCAGGGTACAAGTGAGAGAAATTACTGAAGAAAAGCAGTGAACTTGGCTGCTTTAGGCCAGTGGTGGGGGTGCTCTGGAGTGGGGGGCGATTGGGCATCTGGGAATACCACATCTTGTAATGCATTAGGTTCAACATTTTGATCTTAGGGTGGGTCAGGGCCCAGTACAGGTTGGGCATCTCATACCTGAAGTGCTTGGGACCAGACATATTTTAGATTTTGGCATTTTTCTTTTTCTCTTTTCATTTTTAATATACACAGTATCTTTATTCATTTTTATGTGGTGCTGGGGATTGAACCCAGTACCTCACACAGGCGAGACAAGCACTTTACCACTGAGCTACCTCCTCAGCTAGATTTTGGCATTTTTCAGATTTTGAATTATTGGCACAGACTTTACTGGTTGAGCCTCCCTAATCCGTGTCGGCACTTGGGAAGTTTCAGATTTTGGAGCATCCATGATTTCAGATCAGGGGTGCTCAGCCTGTACAGGTGGGGGATCACAGTGTAGCCATTGGAGGTGTGAGCTCGAGCCCACCCTTGCTGCACACCTGAGGATGCACAGGTGGCCCAGGCTGGGCCTCCACCAGTGAGCAGTTTAATCATCTCATCAGATAAGACAAGCAGATGTGCTCCAGAGAAACCTCTATGCCACAGGATTCTGTCTTGTCCTTGTCCCAAGCTCCTAGACCAGTCGCAGGAACAGAGTAGCTGAGCAACAAATGTTTAACAGGTGCCTGAATGAATAAGCAGATGGTCTTGTCAGGCCAAGTGACGTGATGGCACACAGGGCCCTGTAGGAGCGCCCCCTGGAGGACTGCAGGAGGGGTCCCAGAAGACAGTCATCAGAGCTGGGTCTGAGCAGGAACCAGCTGGGCAGGGCACAGCGGCAGGGTTGAGCTCTGATCCGCTCCTTCAGACCTGGGGCCTCTCTGCCCAGCCCGGGCCCTGGCTTTCTCCTCCATGGCACAGAAGGCTGACTAGGTGGGCGCTGGCATTCAGGGGGTGGTTCTTATCCCCTGAAAAGCAAATCGCTCCCCCTTTTCATATCACAGATGGGAAACTGAATCACAAAGRGGGGAACTTAACTTGCCCAAAGCTGTGAATTCCAGCCCTCGGAAGGGGAGGTCCAGTACCCCAATGAGCTGTCCGAGCTTCCTGTTCACCATGGCCATTCTGCACGCACAGCCTCTAATTCTCATTCTCTCTCTTCTTTCCCATTGGCCTTGTTGCTTTTTTATTTTGGGGGGATGGCGGATGTGCTGGCCGGTCCTGGCCTCTCCCCCTGCCCTGCCATCCTGACTCCTCCTCCTGTCTGCCATCCGCACTGGGCTGGACCGCGCTCTCCCCACTCATGGTGAATGGTCGTGGGCACTCCCAGCCGCTGGCGGAGCCGCTACTACGGGAAAGGACGTTACGGCCACCCTGACTTTAAGAACTCCTGTCCAGTTCTGGAGGAATAGTGTGTTGCTATCGTTTCTCTCGGTCCCCGCCTGTGTGTGGTTACCCCTTTGTACCCATTCTTCCTGTCTCTGCATCCGGCCTTCTGCATCTCAGCTTCTCCTAACCATGTCATTGTGTCCCCATAATCCAAAGTGACATCCCACAGCTGAAATGGCCTTCAGCCAGGGCCCTGAGCCCCACCGCGCGTGGCCTGTCCCTGGGTGGGAGAGAGCTTGGATCACTGACCTCAGCTCCCAGGGCCCCTCCTCTGGCCAGAGGTCAACAAAAGGGAATCCAGTGAGCGGAAGTGGTCAACGCCAAGGTGTCAGTTTTGATGGTCAAGGGCTAAGAAGCCTCTATGGACCTGGCCTGGGACAGTGCCCTGGGACAGTTGAGGAAAGGCTCCTTGTGGCCAGGGTCCCTTCCAGGCTTGCCCTGCTGCCGGCCTGAGGGATGGAGTCGAAGGGTCCCTTTCTCTGCAGGGAGGAGGATCCCCTGTCCGGCTGCCCTGGGGGTCAGCTCCCTGTGGGCTCTGGTTCTGACCTGCTCTCCCTCTTCTCTGTCCTCTAGGTTGTAGGCCTGGCTGACTTGCATGTCCAGGGCTTCCTTCCTCCTAATCGACCGCTGGGCTCTGCGACACTTCTGCTAACACTTCTGCGGGCACTAACCCAGGGGATACCATCTCTGCTGCTCCAACTTCTCTCTCCAGACTTGGCTCTGTTTGTTTTTAAAACCAGTCCCCTTCCCTTTCCACGTGGCCTGTGTGTGCCTGGGTAACTGTTGGCGAGGATCGAGGATCTCACTAACCCGGCCTCCCGCTCGGGGCGGCCCAGCAGCTTCTAGCCGCTCTCTTGGACGTGGTGACGCCTCCTCTTGTCCTTCAGAGGGCTGACTTGCTTCTGTCTGTCGGGTGGCCCTRTTCTCTTCTAACACCTGAATGAGCCTCCTGCTGACTGCTCAGAGCACAGGGGCGGCGGGGTGCTTGGCTTCTAACCCGTGAGGATCCTGTCCTACAAGGAGTGGAATGACTTCAGAGCTGCCCCAAGACCGGCGCCAAGGAGTCYTCTCTGGGTTCCTGGGTCCTCTGTAGACTTGGGGCAGTAGACACTCAAAGTCCTGTTGCCTTGACAGACTCCTGCTCCGAAGGGCTGGGCTGGGTCCTCAGCAACACACTCAGAAACGTTGTCCTAAAGCAGAGCAGAGCCTGTCTCCAAACAACTCCACTACCCRAAACAAAGCTGCTTCCCCAGCCCAACCCCACTCTTCTCCCTTCGCATCTGCCGGGGGCTATATAGATGGACCCCAGGTCAGCATTCGTCGGGGTGGGGAAGACGGGCCACTGTGCTGCTCACTGAATGCAGATGGCCCCCACCCTCTGTGCAAAGCTGCTCATTTTGGATCTCTGGCATGGGCCTCTGGGAGCCTTCACCTCAGTCTGCCTCCCAGGTGGCCCTAGTGGACCCAACATTTGGTCACCATTTGTAGAAGGAGCTTATGTGTMACTCCTGGTGCTGGGGCTTAGGTCTCTCTTCTTTCCCAATTCTGCGTGGACCAAGGGTGTTCTCGGGAAGCCAGTGAGGAGCTATTCAAATGAGCCCACAGCGGTTACGGCGCACCCCAGGTACCAGGGAGTCAGAGGTGCATGAGCCACATCGCYACCCCCAGGAGGGAAGTGTGGCCGAGGCCCAGGACTTGGGGGACCAGGGGCAGCTCTGCCAAGGCTATAGGCTGAGCACTCATTGTCGCTCCTTGGTGGGGGCTGGGTCCTCTGCTAAGCTTCTGGAACTAGCCTGTTCTTTAACCAACACCCCAGTGTTGGACAAGACCAACAGGCCGTAACCCGTGTTTTTGTTCCTCTTCGCAGCATTAACAGCAGCAAAGTTGTACCCCGCTTTGAAAGGTTCGGCTTGGGCGCCCTGGAGTCCAGTAATCCAAAGATGTAGTCGGCCGTGCGGTTTTTCGACCACCCATTTCTTTCTTTTGCAAATGTGTTTCTAAAACACACCAACAACCACCACGACAGAAATCAATAAATAAAAACCAAAACACTCCACCTGCCCAGCGCTGCACACGAGGAGCACGAGTCCTCCATTCAGACTGTTCGTCACCAAGACGCGTGGGTCCTGGAGATGGAGCCACACACCTGCCATTTGAGATGACGCCACCCACCACCAGATCTGTCTGACTGACAGCGAATGTTTACATGTACGTCTCTGCGGAGCGGACTTSATGTTTTACAATAGGTAATAATAAACAGTCCATGTGTAGGGGCGCTGGCACCTTGGGGTGGCGGAAGTGGCTGTCCCTTGTGGAGGACTTGTAACCGTGAGGGGCCCAGGGTTGGGCCAGAAGGAGGAAAAGCATCGTGATTATGGCTGTTCTGGGGGAGGCAGCCCATGGTGTGACCTGGCCTCTGCCTTGGCCCTAACACCCATCCATAGGGAGTCTCCATCTGGGATTCCCCCTTTGTCCTATCAAAGGGACATTATCCCTTCCTCATTCTGCAGAGGAAACCCTGGCTGGGAACCAAGCTGGATTTACAAGTGTCAGRATTCCCTAAAGAACTTGGATAGACCCTGTGACTCCCTCTAATCCWGGCTGTTTCTGTTGCAAAAGTAAAGGCAGAACCCAGACAGCATCTGGGTGGTTCCTAGCCAGGGTTTCTGCTACGTGGAGAAGAACTGTCCACACACCGTGGAAATGTGTTTCTTGAAGCCCCCAGCAGGCACTTGTGGTTTTAGACACATCCGAATGTGTGACTGACATCTGACCCCAGGGCTAGGGTCAGCCTGGTAGCTGCACATGTCACGGGGAATTGGTGAGTCAGAACAAGGAATATGGTAAAGGGAGGGGGAAAGAGACAGCCAKCAGGGGCCTGAACCCCGCTTTCTGGCCACAGGGTGACCCTGGCACTTTAGAAACCCATCCCATCCGTTTTACTAGAAGGTTCCAGAACTGCCTGCCTCTTCCCACTCCCCAACCCTATTGAACCCCTTCACCCATCCCTGACTCCTCTCTCCATGCTCAGAGCTGAGACGGGGGCATGAGGCAGTCCAGCCTTTCCAGTTAGACCCCCAGGGAGCCCCCGCATCTGCAGAACCCTCTCTGGCAACATCAGGCCTTTTGCTTGTGTCCATTCAAACCAGCGGCGGAGGGGTGGGGGGACTGGATTTGGGAACACCTTTAATGTGATTGAACCCCACCTGTCCTCTGTAGAACTATCACAAAGAAAAGTGCCCAATGGAAAAGAGGCCTTTAAGTGGAGGTTGGGTCTCATGGGGCTGCACAGACAAAGGAGAGACGGAGGGAGATGGGGTGGAGATGCGAGGGGAGGTGCTTCGCTCTGAGCTCAGACAAGGGCAGCCATGTGGCTCCCACCTCTTTCAGTTAGGCCACCTAGCAGAGCCCCAGGTCTTCAGAGCCTTCCCTAGCACCAGAGTCAGGTCCCAATGTCACATAGGACAGGCCACTCTGCTCCAGAAGCTGGGAAACTGCCTCCCTCTCTCCAGGCCCTCCGCCCTACCCTCTTTGGGGGTATGTGACAGTACAGCGGTGCAGGGTACCGTGGGACTGTGACATCCTTACTTTTTTTGGTCATTGTGGGCAGGAGAAAGAGGAACTGTAGGCCAGTTGGGGTCAGCTCTGTCATTGTGTCTGCCTCCCTGTGACTTCCCCMCTTCAAAGCCATGTGGCCGCTGCCTCTGTGGCTGCAGCATACCTACAGCACCCCAGAGGGGACTGCAGACCCCCCCAACCCTGTGCTGCCAAGGGCTAGTGGACAGTTGGGTGTGTCGGGCTCAGCACCTCCCCATCYCCCTCAGAAAATCAATCTCCCTTTGTCTCGTGAATGTCAAGGTTCAGGGGGCTCCCTCGTGGACTTGTGCAAGTGCTGGGGACCCAGAGGTAGGAACAGCCACAGTCCCTGTCTTAAGGAACTGACCGTCTTCCAGGAGCCTGGTATCTACCAGGAACCCAGAAGCCTCTTGGCCCTGATGGTAAGGCTAAGGTGCTGGGGGCCCTCCTCTTCCCCCCAAGGCCTGGACAGCCTCTGGCTCTCTGCCAGCCCCCTCTGCACTGCCTGTCRTTTAGGAAGATCCTCCACAAGGGTCCCCCTTCTCCCTTTTTTTATTTAAGTGACTGTGAATTGAGGTTAGGAAGACGAGCCCACCCTTCTGTGTGCCCTCCCCGTCTGCCTTGGAAACGCATGAAGGATGACAGATACTGTGAATTCAGTGCTCACGGCCCACTGTGAAAGGGATGGAGAAGGCCCAGGGCTCCCTGGGGCTGCAGAGGTCCCCACTGGGGTCTAAGAATGGAGCCCAAGAAGCTTTGGCCCTTCCAGGCACCCCTAGTTCCCAGCCTCACCTCCGAGGCCTTTAACCACCAGTCTCTAGTCTCCCCGGGTTTCTTTGTGACTCAAAGGTTGAATCCTGGCTAGTCCTGAGCAGCGTGGAGCAAAGTTGACCTCTCCATGTCACCAAATCAAAACACCCTGTGCCATCTTCTGGCATTTCTTCCTGTGGTCCCTGAAGGGAGTGAAAAGCCCTCTCAGGCTGTTGTTGTGGAATGACTTGGGGACACAGCATTGCTCAGGATGTCATCAGTTTGTATGCACCTGGCGTCTTCCATGGCCACGAGGCACACATTTTACTTTTTTTTTTTTTTTCAATGTGATGTAAAATTTGTACAGTAAAAGTTTTTATATTTTCTATCAATTGCGTTTGTCTTCCAAAAATGCTATTAATTTAAATTAAAATGGTTAGTATTAACAAATGTGCTGTCTCCACGTTTTGATTTTTCCCGTCTTTGTTTTGCCACTGGTAAGAACACACCCTCCGTGCTGAGCCAGCCCTACAGGTCTGCAGTTTGTGAGTAAAGTTATACAAGGAATCCTGGGGCTCCTGTGTGCTTTGATCAGTTCCAGATGAGAGTTGGGGACCTCTCCTATGATGGCATAGGGTGACAGGAATGGAAGGGTCAGGGGTGTTTAAACACCTCACATCAAGGAGCTCCTTCTAAAGGAAGAGAGAAGACTTATGCTTGGACCTCAAGGGCAGGTGTCTCTGGAGAGGGAGGTGTTGAGGCCCCTGATGCACAAGGAGAATCACCCAACCCCACAGTAAGAAGCTCTCAAGTAACCTGGACCCAGTACGTCTCCCCGGGGCTGAGGTGCCCTTTGCCTTATAGAAGCCTTGGATGAAGGGAGCAGCCTTTGTGTTCAGAGAGGTGCTTGGAAGCTTGGCGCAAGGAGAACAGGTAGAGGAGTGGAGGAACCATCATATGTGGGACCCCCACTCTGAGCTGGGGAGTTGTTCACTGAGCGTAATCGTCCTTTATTCTAATCCTGATGACAGTGCCTTCAAATAGGCATTGTGATATTTTCACTGGGCAAACAGGTAAAAGAAGGTAAGGTAGTCACCTGAGATCACACAGCTGTGGGACAGCCAGTCCAAGTCTCGGCTTTGACCTCCTTCTTATCTGAAGTCAGGGAATTTACTAGCCAGATATTTATTGAGCTCCTAAGGTGTTCAAAAGATAGTGCTGGGCTGGGGTTATAGCTCAGTGGCTGAGCACTCGCCTCACATGTGTGAGGCACTGGGTTCGATCCTCGTCACCACTTACAAAAATAAATAAATACTGGGGCTGGGGATGTGGCTCAAGCGGTAGCTCGCTCGCCTGGCATGTTTGTGGCCCAGGTTCGATCCTCAGCACCACATACCAACAAAGATGTTGTGTCTGCCAAGAACTAAAAAATAAATATTAAAAATTCTCTCTCTCTCTCTCTCCTCTCTCACTCTCTCTTTAAAAAAAAAAATTAAATAAATAAATAAATAAATAAATACAAAAAGATATTGTGTCCATCTACAATTTAAAAAAAAAATTAAAAAAGAAAGTGCTAAGGGATGGAATGTTTTTCAGGACAGATCGTAGGATAGACCACAAAATTTAGTCTCAATAGATTTAAAAAGTTAGCAAAGTATTTTACCTGACAACATGGTATGAAGTGAGAAATCTATAACAGAAGACTGGAAAATTCACAGACTTGTAAAAATTAAAGAACATGCTCTTTTTCTTTAATATTTATTTTTTAATTGTAGTTGGACACAATATCTTTATTTTACTTATTTTTATGTGGTGCTGAGGATCGAACCCAGGGCCCCACACATGCTAGGTGAGTACTGCTAAGCCCCGAGAACACACTCTTAACTAATGGATCAAGGAAGAAATCACAAGGGAAATTAGAAAATACTTGGAGATGAATGAAAATTAATACAAACATACCAAAATTGATACAATGCAGCAAAAATAGTGGTAAGAGGGAAATTTATAGCCATAAACACTTAAAGCAACCTAACTTTACAAATTAAGGAACCAGAAAAAAGAAACTGGGTCAAAATTAGGGAAAGGAAATCAAGATTAGAACAGAGATATTAGAGAATAGAAAAATGTTAGAGAACATCAATGAAACCAAAAGTCGGTTCTTTGAAAACATCAACCAAAGTGGTAATCCTTTACGCTGGTGGGGGCAGGGGGAAAAGACTAAAATTAGTAATAAATGTGGAAACTACAGATTCTACAGAAATAAAGAGGAATATGAGGCAGTATCATGAGCAATTGTATGCCAATGAATTAGATAATAGATGAATTGGACAAATTCCTAGAAAAGACAAAACCTATGAAGACTAAGTCACAAAGAAATATACATGTGATAGACCTATAACTAGTTAGGAGATGAGATCAGTAATCAAAAATCTCCAGGTAGGGCTGGGACTGTGGCTCAGCTGTAGAGTGTTCACCTAGAACGTGCAAGACCCTGGGCTGGATTCAGCACCACATAAAAATAAATTTTAAAAAGGTACTGTGTSCAACTACAACTAAAAAATAAATATTAAAAAAAATCTCCAGGTAAAAGTTCTGGACCTGATATCTTAGCATGTGAATTCTTCCAAATATTTAAAACTGTGCTTCTCAGTTTTKTTTTTTAAACTGAAGAGTAGGAAATAATAACATATTTTGTAAAGCTACCATTTCTCTCATATAAAGCCCATACCAAAAAAAAAGAATAGTCCAGTATTCTTTATGAAAATTGACACAAAAATTCTCAAAATACTAACAAGCCAAATTTAGCATGCTAAAAGATGAGTCACCATGACCACATGGGGTTTATTTCTGGAATCCAGGGGTGGCTCATCCAATAAAAATTGGTCAGTGTAATATGCCACACTAACAGAATGAAAGAAAAAAACACATGATCATCTTATCACAGAAAAAGAGCATTTGGCAAATTTCAAAACCTTTTTACAATAGAAATAAACTAGGAATAAAAGGAAACAACTTCAAAATAATGAAGTCATATATAGAAATCCACAGAGAAAGGGCTGTGTGCTTGCCTCGCATGCATAAGACCCTGGGTTTAATCCCCAGCACCACAAAACAGACAACATCCTCACTGGTGAATAACTAGAAGCTGTTCCTACAAGGTCAGAAAGTGAAAAGGGTGCTCATTTCCAACACGTCTATTCAGCTGCTGGGAGTTCTTGCCAAAGCAATTAGGCAAGAAAAAGAAAAGGCATCCAAAATGAGGGCCTGGGGCGGGGGAGGAGCAGTAAAATTAATTCTGATTATAGATACTATGTTATATGTAGAAAATCCTAAAAATTCCATTTGAAAAAGTTGATAGCACTAATAAATAAATTTTTCAAGGTAGTAACATACAAACAAAAATGGACTGCATTTTTTTAATATTTATTTTTTAGTTGTAGTTGGACACAATATCTTTATTTATTTTTATGTGGTGCTAAGGATCGAACCCAGGGCCTTGCACATGCTAGATAAGTACTCTACCACTGAGCTACAACCCCAGCCCTGGACTGCATTTTTATATACTAACAATGAACAACCTGAAAAGGAAATTACAAAAATATGATTCCACTTACAATAGCATCAAAAAAGAATAAATACTTAGGAATTAAGAAGGTAAAAGAGGGGCTGCAATTGTGGCCCAGCGGTAGAGCGCTTGCCTAGCATGCGTGAGGCACTGGGTTCGATTCTCAGCACCACATAAAAATAAAATAAAGGTTATTGTGTCCACTTACAACTAAAACATTTTAAAAAAAAGAAGAAAGTAAAAGAAGTAAAAGACTTATACAATTAAAACTACAAACATTGCTGAAAGAAGTTAATAGGATATAAATAAATGAGAACACATCTAATGTCTATTGATTGGAAAGACAATATTAAGATGTTACTAGTGTGATTCAGATTTTTTTTTTTTAATTTCTGGTGCTGGGGATTGAACCCAGGGCCTTATCCATTTGAGGCAAGCACTCCACTAACTGAGTTATATCCCCAGCCCTAGATGTGATCCCACAGCCCAAACAATCTTGGGGGGTGGGGGTAGAAAAAAAAACAAAACTGAAGAACTTGTATTTCCTCATTTCAAAACTTATGTCAGGCTCATTATCCCTTATCTGAAATACTTGGGACCAAAAATACTRTAGATTTCAGGTGGTTCTGGATTTTGGAATACTTGCTTATGCACAATGAAATACATCAGAGCTGGGACCCAAGTCCAAACAAGAACTTCATTTATGTCTCATATGCACCATGTATGTACACATAGCCTAAAGTTTCTTTTTTTAATATTTATTTTTTAGTTTTAGGTGGACACAATCTTTATTATATTTTTATGTGGTGCTGAGAATTGAGTCCAGTGCCTCACACATGCTAGGCGAGCACACTACCACTTGAGCCACATCCCCATCCCTAGCCTAAAGTTTCATGGTGTGGATTTTTTCACTTGTGGCATCACAAAAGCACTCAATAATCTTTGGAAGATTTCAGATTTTCAGATTAGGGATGCTCAACCTACAAAAAGTACAATAGTTAGCACAGCATGGTACAAGCACAAAGAGACGTGAAAGCCAATGGGCCAGAAAAATTCACTTGGCTATGCATGTTGGGTATTTTTGTGGGTGCTAAGGACCCCACAAAAATCCCCAACATGCATAGCCAAGTGAATTTTTTTTGGGGGGGGAGTGAGGGAGTGTACCAGGGATTGAACTCAGAGGCACTCGACCACTGAGCCACATCCCCAGCCCTATTTTGTGTATTATTTAGAGACAGGATCTCACTGAGTTGCTTAGTACGCACCATTGCTGTGGCTGGCTTTGAACTTGTAATTCCAGCATCTCAAGCCACTGGAATTACAAGCGTGCACCCCAGAAGGGAGGAAATTTCCTTTCCCTTAGCTTCACAGTTGCACTGTGGGGGCTGTCAACCTTCCTAACAGGGAGACTTTCTGAAGGAACAGGGAATTAGAATCCGGGATATGCATGCCATAATGGTTAATGGGCAGATCTGGGGAGGTTGAGGCAAGATGAAACTTTTAAAGGAAAAAGAAAAAGTACATGCATGCCCACATACATACACACGCGCACACACACACACACACACACACATATATATATATAT